GAATGTTTAATTGTAGATCAATCGTAGAGTTAAGATATGGTGTCTGAATGAAGTAGGCGTCTTGTTCCGCATACAAATGTTTACCTATAGACGTATATATAGTTATTTTAGTGGGTAATCTATCTTGAAGTTCACACGTCTCTAACCCGATATGTCAACCAGTCAGGTTTTAGTCTTACAAACACACAAACATGACTACCTGATACTGAAATAATGGAAACATTTAAATGATGACAGATACAACCACAGACATTCTGACCTGACATTACACGGTCTGTTAGTTCTACTAGATAGCAATGTCATCTACTTCAAGTATAATGTATCATACCTGTTATATATATTGCATGTAACTTTAAGTTTTTGGTTTGAGTTGTCGTTGATAGATTCGACTTACATATCGTAACATTCATTATATAATCATTTTCATGTTCAGCTTCAGCTTTGTTCGTTAAATATTTCTCAACGTTTCATTCTTGTCAGAATGATAAGGATCATGTATTTTTGGGTCGAGATTTCTTAACATACATGGAAACATTTCTTAAAAGCATTGATAGGGAGAAAAAAGAAAGTTGACAGAGGATATCCGAACACTAGCTTTATATTTGTGAATGAAACTTCAAAACAGGTTTGTGTATACAAGATGCATGGATTAAGCTCTCCAGTTGAGGCGGAAATGTCAATGTTTGCTTTAGTCGTCTTAAATGTGCCAACATAAAAAGGAAATTCTGAAACATCCACGAGATGGAATTTTTATGGAAAGTGTACTTCTCCTCAAAAACTGAGAGGATTTTTTTTTGCGTTAATGTATCATAGCAATATTTATAATTCAAATGTCAGAGACGAGTGTGTAAGCATTACACATACTTATCTGTGCTACGGTTTCCTGTGACGGACTTTAGGAAGACAAGGATGGGATCTTTATAACCACCTCCTGATAAACAGGATCTATGTGATCCCATCAACTGTATGTATTTTATGAATCAATGTTTAATTGACCGGCACAGAGGCAAGTTGTTTCAATGCAGTTTACAGATCAATGATACCCAAGACGGCTGAGTGGTAAATATAGCTTGGTCAGTTTGAAGTTTTTTCTAACTCTCAAGGTCAGTTGGGAATATACCGCCAAGGATTTGTCTAATGGTGCACCACAAGTTTGATTAATGCAGGATGGGAGGGTTGTTTCAGCTGGAATCTTTTTCGTGCAACTGAAATTTTACAATACCTGTCTTGATGACACCAACAGGAAGTCGAGAGATTCAAAATTTATTTCGTTGGAGGATTACTGAAAATGTGGTGTTAGAATTTGAAAATATTACATTTGAAATTCTTGAGTGAAAAGATTAATCAAAGTAAACTTGAATGAAAGGATTAAAAAATTTCTAAGTGACATATATTACTCCTGGAATTTATTTCTAAAAATGTCTGCTGTTACGAAGCTCCGAAAACTTTCCTTCAAAATAAGGTAAATATACACATGTATATAATCTAGCATTATTAATTAGTTTTTTCGACCTTGATGAGGAAACTTATTTTAATCTTGTCTATGTACATACTATGACTCAGATTTGATGCAAAGATTTTCAAGATCTTGTGTAATGTAATATGACTTTAAAAGAAAAAACAGTGCAAGTTATAATGAAATTAAACTACATGGAATTAAGTTTCCTTATGGCTGAGAGGAAATTTCTGCTTATCTGCTTGTTCAATGTAATTCATATGTAAGAAAACATTTGCCTTCGATGGTGATGTGTTTTGGTTTTGTTAGGGGGACACTAGTTGTGAGAGCAGGATATATTGTAAGTTTGATAATGATACATCTCATTCCTTCCTGAGTTTACTGTAGTTGACACAATAAATGCTGTGTCATCTTCCTCATAAATGGATTAAAATTACGCTTTAATTGCTTCAAATTTGTTTTTATCTTTAGTCTATTTATGAAAAAAAAAATTAAGAAATCTTAAAGAAAAAATGATATTAGATTGTGTTGGAGCTTGAAACAAGGATATAGAGTTACATTGAGTGATATTCGATTAGGAAATTCTGAAGATGGGCTTAACAAGATCCAGAATGAAAAGATGTACTTTATATTGTTCTGAAATTATCAGATATATGTGAGTGTCAGAATTTATAGAATTATGGGGCTTAATTAGTGAAACTTCTCCTCCAGGTTAGGATGTTTCTTTCAATCACTTTGGATTTTCCTTGATCACCTTCTGGGCATCAAAATTTAGGCCCTGAGCATTACTGATGAGTCCTCCAATGAACAGCTTTATGATGCCTTTTAGTACATTGTTAAGCTCTATGGTATCAAACTATAAATTTGTAATAAAGGTGATAGTCATTTGTGTGGCTCTTGTACAGTCTTCTACAATAATGTTTTAGTACAACTATTAGATACTGTTACCGTAGCAATTTGTCACTTAAATTATATTTTTAGAAATATCACCATTACATATTAATTAACAAGATTCTGTTGATCATGCGTGACTTTAATATTTTGCGAGACGATATTGACACCACGTGCTTTTCATTTAGCCATGTTAAATTGAAATTCAGTGATATTAGAAGTTGAAATCATTTCACACTTTGTGTTATTGATATATATTTTCATCATTTATGTAGCAAATGTTTTGACACTAAAACAAGGATGTAGAGCTAATTTTTAGTGCAAAATACTATACCATTGTAAAATAGCTGTGATGACAGTAGGCCTTCAGTAACTCTATTGAAACATGTCTTCCTGTCCAAGTTAGACTCATCCACCTCTGTTTTATTTTCAAAAACAGGGTTATTAGGAGACAGATTGATCTTTCTTGGTGTTGTGTGTAAGTTTACTGGAATGTTATGTAATATGTACATACTCGCTGCTTTCATATCTTTACTGAGTAAGCTATTTCACTGTAACAAAGCATCAGTGTAAGACAGTGCGAGGAATTTTTAGTGACAAAACATCATAAATACTGTCAATAAAAACACCCACACCCAAATTACTAATCCTGTGGTGATGTAATCGTGTGTATTTACAATGTGATACAGTTGATAAGACAGCGCCAGAGTACAGTTTGACTCATCAGGTTCCTCAGTAGGATTTGTAAAGTTTGTTTTTGTCATATTTAGGTTAAAAAAAGAAAGGGAAGGTCGGGATGGCCTAAGAAGAGACAGGAAGAGAATATGTATTTAGAAACAGCTCTGAATGATGATTTTGTTACACATTTTAACTGAATGTACTGAGAGACTGTTGTTTATGAAATACAACAGCTATACTGAGGCAACTTATTGTGATCTCACCATTGGTGCTGATTCTTCAGTAAGGGACTTTGTAATAGAGATCTCACCATTGATTCTTCAGTAAGGGACTTTGTAATAGAGATCTCACCATTGATTCTTCAGTAAGGGACTTTGTAATAGAGATCTCACCATTGGTGTTGATTCTTCAGTAAGGGACTTTGTAATAGAGATCTCACCATTGATTCTTCAGTAAGGGACTTTGTAATAGAGATCTCACCATTGATTCTTCAGTAAGGGACTTTGTAATAGAGATCTCACCATTGTTGTTGATTCTTCAGTAAGGGACTTTGTAATAGAGATCTCACCATTGATTCTTCAGTAAGGGACTTTGTAATAGAGATCTCACCATTGATTCTTCAGTAAGGGACTTTGTAATAGAGATCTCACCATTGATTCTTCAGTAAGGGACTTTGTAATAGAGATTCACCATTGATTATAAGGGACTTTGATAGAGACTCACCATTGATTCTTCAGTAAGGGACTTTGTAATAGAGATCTCACCATTGATTCTTCAGTAAGGGACTTTGTAATAGAGATCTCACCATTGATTCTTCAGTAAGGGACTTTGTAATAGAGATCTCACCATTGATTCTTCAGTAAGGGACTTTGTAATAGAGATCTCACCATTGATTCTTCAGTAAAGGACTTTGTAATAGAGATCTCACCATTGATTCTTCAGTAAGGGACTTTGTAATAGAGATCTCACCATTGATTCTTCAGTAAGGGACTTTGTAATAGAGATCTCACCATTGATTCTTTAAGGGACTTTGTAATAGGACTTTGATTCTTCAGTAAGGGACTTTGTAATAGAGATCTCACCATTGATTCTTCAGTAAGGGACTTTGTAATAGAGATCTCACCATTGTTGTTGATTCTTCAGTAAGGGACTTTGTAATAGAGATCTCACCATTGATTCTTCAGTAAGGGACTTTGTAATAGAGATCTCACCATTGGTGTTGATTCTTCAGTAAGGGACATTGTAATAGAGATGATTGATTCTTCAGTAAGGGACTTTGTAATAGAGATCTCACCATTGATTCCAGTAAGGGACTTTGTTAGAGTTGTTGATTCTTCAGTAAGGGACTTTGTAGATACCATTGATTCTCACCATTGTTGGATTTTGATTCTTCAGTAAGGGACATTGTAATAGAGATCTCACCATTGTTGTTGATTCTTCAGTAAGGGACTTTGTAATAGAGATCTCACCATTGGTTTTGATTCTTCAGTAAGGGACTTTGTAATAGAGATCTCACCATTGTTGTTGATTCTTCAGTAAGGGACTTTGTAATAGAGATCTCACCATTGATTCTTCAGTAAGGGACTTTGTAATAGAGATCTCACCATTGTTGTTGATTCTTCAGTAAGGGACTTTGTAATAGAGTCCTCACCATTGATTCTTCAGTAAGGGACTTTGTAATAGAGATCTCACCATTGATTCTTCAGTAAGGGACTTTGTAATAGAGATCTCACCATTGTTGTTGATTCTTCAGTAAGGGACTTTGTAATAGAGATCTCACCATTGTTGTTGATTCTTCAGTAAGGGATAATTTCTGTATTATTGGTGAAGAAGGTAGCTTCACTCTCTAAAAATCAAAAGGAAAAAAAAAGAGAAAACATGGTTTTTTTTTGTGCGGTAAATTGAAAGTTGTTTATTTTGTATGCGTTTGTTGACATGACATTGCTAACCTAGTTGTTTGGTTGATATTTTTCAGAAAACAAACTATGGATGGCCAGTTATACTGCGAGTCTCATGTTCCGCAGACGAAGTCCACCCCAGCCATCAGCCCGGATGCTGATGAGAAGGTAAATAATTAATCAAATGAAATTTTGAAAGAATTTGCTTGAAACAAAGTGTCTAAGTGATGTTGATGTTTGCATGTACCTAAAAATGTTTTTTTCTTTTTTCTTTTTTTTTTCATTAAGGTTTTCATAATTACATTGTAGATGAGTCTTGAGCTAGTTGAATCCAATATACTTCAGAAATTATACACAAAATGTCCTTCTATCCATCCAACTCTCTGTATATCCACCATTTTGGAATGGAATGACATTTATTTCAAAACATGATCCATTATGCTTCAAGCTCCTAAGAAGAAACAAAATTCAGAGTTGATTGGTCAGTCCTGGACATGACCCTCAAACTAGAACTTATCTTATTTATCAATAAGCCAGTGTCTGATAATTAGCCCACCCAAATCTCTTGGAATGGAATACTCAAGTTTTATGTCTGGTACAATGTGGGGTGCCCTCTGACTTGTGTCTGTACTCTAGTACCATCTTGTAATTAAAAACATCGTACGGGTCTAAATCAATATCACATAAATAGACTCAACAATTTCTACCTTTTTAACTATTTGCTGAAACATGCAGAAATTTCCTCAAACTTCGTAGTACATAAATGCACACCAAATCAAATGGGCTTTAATAACCAACATTTTCTGAATTCTGCAGCAAGTTCTGATCAATATATAATGATGGCCTAGTTAGGTCAGGTATTGTGAATTACTTCAGATTCCAATCCAGGGGATGTATCAATTAATCAAGTTTCCGTGAAAAAAAAAAAATACTATTCCTGAATTTCTGGAATTAGATACAATCTTCTGTCCTACTAAATTTCTTTATAGTTACATCTGTCAAGTACTTGATTTGATTATCTCAAGTTTCAGACGAGCAATCACTGATATTTCTTAGCTGTAACAAGTATTCATTCCATCATGTTTCAATCAATTGGAAATAGGAAAAAAAATCTGAATATCTGTTGCTTCCATCTCTGTAATTCTTGCAATTCTCATTTCAAAATGTGATGTTACTTACTTGGATTGACTAAGATTTATGTGATGGGTGTCACTGATGAAACAGAACAAAGCTTACCATTCCAGAACACCTGGTCTTGTACTTTTCATTGGCCTCTGTATAAATTTCTTTCTTTTGGTCGTATTTTGTCCTGGTTTCATCAGATTTCAGTGTGATGAAACTAGGAGAAATAGGACTCCACAGATAATTCTACAGAAAAGATCAAAGTTTCTGTCATGAACGTACTTCACACATTATGCTTAATCCTAACTATTAGCAGAAAAGACGCTTCAATGCTATCATCACTGATTTACATACATTATCCTGTGATAAGCATTTTTACTGATCAGTTGTAGAGATAGATGGCTAAATTAACAGGTATGGACTTACTTTTTAATAAGTACAGTAGTGTACTTTAATACTGTCGGGCCTTCCATCACCTTAGTATTTTTTTCACCAATTTCAGAACATCTCGTGAAGACTTATTTTGAGCTCAGATGTAAGAAGAAATGCTACAAAGAGGCTCTGTACAATGTCCCTACTAAATAATTTACAGCATTATACACTAGTAATCACCTTTTTTTCCAGCAGATAATTTTTTTTCTTCGATTTTACACATCGTTCCTACCAGTTATTTCCATGTTAATGCTGACAAATTGCATGAAATTTCTCCAAGATTACCTAATTTGGAATTACTTTTTACATTTCATGTGTTTCTAGTCAACCCAGGCATTGTACGAGATGCTGGTACGGACGCAGGAAAGAGGCCGTATTGACGACCAAAGATGCAACATGCCAACGTTTAAAAAGGTAATTGTAGATGCATTGCATGTTCTAGGAAAATCAGAATTTGTAATATGATTCTGCTTGCTTGAGGGGGAATGCATTTTACTAATAGCTTCATGCATATAATCCTTATCTGCTGATTTATCTGACCAAGATAAAGATGATGTAGTTCTGCATAGAGGAAATTAGGATAATATAGGCTAGACTCCCCCCTAAATAGCTATAATAGACCGGATATCTTCCAATGAAGGTCCAAGTCCATTGCTTTTTTATGGGGATGGAGCCTAATATGAAATGTCTTTATATAAACAAGCATTTGCACTTGATCTGATGTTTTTTAATGGTATAACGATTGGCATATTTATATATATATATGAATGTGGTGCATTATGGGGAATTTTTAAAACAATTTACTGAGTGCATGGAGACTAATTTCTTCATAAAGAATTAATTATTTGAAAACTTACCAAAATTGCTCATTTTGCAGGAATATATGATGAGAGGGAAAGTGATTCATTGTCAAACTGAATTTCAAAGTCTAGATTGTGTTTCAATTTACACAAGTTAAGTGTTGGTGAGATCTATATCGGTGGAAAAAACAAGGTTTGGCGAACAGTTATAAAGTATTGCCACTGGCAAAATGTCTGCACTAATATCAAGATGTCTTGTGCATTGATTGAAGATACGTGTCTATCTGCAGACATCAAAAACATGATGAGAACATGCTGTGCTAGAGTCCTGAAGAACCAATATCGCAAAAAAATGATTGATATCAAATGTATAGTATTATGTAGCTCTATTTAGAATTTCATGAAATTGATTTAAAATAGCAAATGGGATAGGAAATATACTGATAGACATTTCTCTGCACTTTTGTTTATTTTTTTACAAGCTTTCAAATAGATACTGTTTGATTTGAGAATTCATTTTTTATGTTCAAGTCACTGAGATTTTTTTCTAATGTATATTAGTCCCTGGTAAGATTGATGGAAAAGTGGTTAAGAACTAATAAGAAAAAATTCTTTAAAAATTTTATATCCGTGAATCATGACTTTTAACTGACTATTGTTCTGTGAGATTCTTATTAAAGGCACCTTAATGTTTGGATAATGACAGGGTCTTGTTGCAGCCAGATGTGACATCCCTTAAGAAAAATAATGAGACAGTAGAGGGCGTAGCTGGGATCTACATGTACATGAAATTCAAACCTTTTGAAAAAAGTGTTTGATAGCTGTTGCCCCTTTACATTTAATGAGCAGATGCTTGCTGTTTATAATACTAACATAATGTTGTACATTATACTGTCAACCTTTTTTTAAAAAAAAAATAATTTAAACACGTAATATAAAGTCAACAGATTATTGGTTGTTGATGATGGCTACAAAAATCCACACAGACTTTCACTTCCTGGTTACCATGCACTCACTGCTATAGTCACCCTTTAAAACATCCTATAATTTCATTGCATCAAAAAAAAGGAGAAAACTAGTTCAATCATCCATCATTATTTCTTAAGAGAAATTTTTAAACTTCATATAATTAAAACAGAGAAGAAAAATGGGAAAGATCCAAATTTTAAAGAACACATAAAGACCAAACAATGGTTTTCTTCAAGATCCCATTGGGATCTCTTGTATGTAGTACCAGTTAAAGGCTGTGTTTTCAAAATTTAAAAATGTCTGATGTGGTGGGAAGTTTGGAAATAAAATTAGATAGTTGATAAGAATAGCTTAAGATTTTTGGTTAAATCAGCTGAACAATATGAACAGAAATACCTTTTGAGGATACAACCACCACTGAATGACAATTGATTCAAATTATTTTTCAGTTTTTTTTTTTATATTTTTTGATAAAAATACAGAAATACTTAGTAGTCACTTCCTGAAAATGAAAAATAGAAAAAAAATGTGTCATTTCACAAGAGAGCATATTTCGTTACATGGTCTTTCAATACATACTCATCATTCCTAAGCCATCACATCACACGACCTGCTTCTATATTTTGCTCTAGGGTCCAGATTTTTTCGAGTTGCTACTTAAATACCAAAGTCGTCGCTATGAGGACCAGCGTTGCGCCATGCCTACTACACCTAAGGTTTGCTTACACTAACCTACAGAAGTAGGTCACTGCTAGCTTATCTAGGTCACTGCTAGTTCTGTCAATGTCAGGGTCACATTGGAAGGAAATCATAGGCTGAGATATGTTATTTTTTCACCAAATTTGGTATAAAAAAATTTATTCATGAAAATTGCCAGAAATATCTTGTCAGTTTGATATTTTTTTTTTGCTCCCCGAAAATTTCAGGAGAGCATATAGTCGCTGTTTTGTTTTAAAACATATCTGTAATACATTTGATTATAATTTCTGTTTCTGAAATATTTGTTTTTAAATGAGTTCAATACAATCTGATGTATTTTTTTAAAATTATTTTTTTTGGAAGAACAAATTTCAATTATTGCGCCCTCGTGATCCTGACAATATTTGTGCTACATCTTGCTAATGTGTTGCTGTGTTGTCTTGTCTTGTAAAATTTTCATCTGTAATGGAACCAGATATGCATTTCAGTCATCCATCTTCGATAAACGCTGAAATTCTACAGTCCTTTCTAGTGGCTATGATTTATTGTTCAGCAGTTCAGCAGTTCAATAATCACTGTCTGATTTCTAGAAATATTTGAATATTCTCATAGAATGCTGAGGATGTATTTTATATCTTTCGTTTGCTTACAAATGTGCAAACTAAATTGAATGACTGATGACTATGTTTCTTTTATGAATATGAATATAAAATTTACAGCATAATATAGTACATCATAACATAGCATAACAACATAGCATATACATGTAGCATAACATAGCATAACAACTTAGCATATACATGTAGCATAACATAGCATAACAACATAGCATATACATGTAGCATAACTTCATAACAACATAGCATATACATGTAGCATAACAACATAGCATATACATGTAGCATAACTTCATAACAACATAGCACATACATGTAGCATTACTTCATAACAACATAGCACATACATGTAGCATAACTTCATAGCAACATAGCATATACATGTAGCATAACTTCATAACAACATAGCACATACATGTAGTGTAACTTCATAACAACATAGCACATACATGTAGCGTAACTTCATAACAACATAGCATATACATGTAGGATAACTTCATAACAACATATAGCACATACATGTAACGTAACTTCCTAATAACATAGCACATACATGCAGCATAAGATAGCAAATTATTTAGCATAGGGTTGGTATAGTCATTATTTGGTTCTTTTGAAAGTATACTTAGATTAAGGTATAAACATGGGAATATTATTTCTCTACAATGACTGGGACTACATATATGATATATTCTTTAGATGTGTACGGTATACTAAGATTTTAGTGACTAATTAGAAACTCGCTGAGGCCTAATTGTACAATAAATTTCAATCAATACTTTTTATTCCAGTCAAGATTGTGTATAAAATATCTGTATAAAACCAACATTAGCTTTATATAAAAACATTGGTACTCTGTTTTACAACTGTGATGATTGCATGGTTTTGATATCTGAATACATCTAGTGTTATTGTTGGTTAATGAAGCATGGTAGCTTTTTTAAGATGTTCACATCTACATGTGTTCATCATATAATTTGCTGATTTTTTCTTTTTGATTTTGTTGTTAGAATGTAGAGCATTTTGTATTTAGAAAAATTACCCAGGAAAGGATAAATAGTTTTTTTTGTTTTTAATTTAAAACGGGGCATTTAATCTGCTGTAGAACACCAGAAGTTGACTTTTCATAATTTTTAACATGTGATAATTTGTTAAACTTGATAACGAAGAAAAGATAATCTTGATCGGCTGTATATTTGTGATGGGTACACATCTTTTCCTAAGTTTTACATTTAACGGTGTAATCAATATAATTGACGTTATTCCATCATGTTTTTGTGTTGATCACGGTAAAGGAACTCATGCTGCTGTCATTAAGTCTGTTGTGCTGTATAAATCATTATACACAGTGATAGTATCAGAATGGATGACGGTTTATGAATACATGTAAATATAATGATAGATTTTATCACGCAAACGGCAAGGAGGTCTACACAGTCTCATGCATACGATACATACATAGTTTTATTTTTATGATTACAACTCCATAGAAATAATGTAGAGTTATCTCCCTTGTTTCTAAATGGAGACTCCATTCCTTGAGGCTCTGCAATTAGCTATGATTGAGGACACATTGAGAAATTTATATTTATTGTGTTCCAGCATTACAGCTTAAATATTTTCATGATCTGACTGTAAAATGGCTATGATATCACTGATTGGTTAAGTATCGATACTTATATATAAATATATGTAAATACAAAGTTAAAAGTTCAGAGGTCAAAGAATATAGTTTATCAGAAAAGTTGAAGTTATATACAACAACACAAAAAAAAATACAATGTATATGATATTATAAAAAAAGAATACATTTGGTTTCTGTAATAAAGCAGGATTACCATTTTAGTTTATGTATTGTCATGGATATAACCGTATCTGCTTTTGAGAATGTTCTGTTCTATTTCTTTTTTTCATTATTATTGTTTTTTCTTTTTTAATCTTTTACGATAATAAATGATACTTATAAATCTACCCTTGTAAATTGCTGTCCATTAAGAACAACTTAAGCTACTTATGCAAGATACTTTTAATGGGTATTTTTAAAACGATTGACCTGTTAATCCCCATATCTTGACTTTTAGACTTTCCCTGTATCTCCGACAAATACTTATTGCATATTGCATGAGAAACAACATAATGAAACCTATCCAGTTGATAAGTCTATAGACACAGCAGAATAAGTATTATGTAGTGTTGATGGGTATTGTGACTTTTATGATAACACAGTTGTCAGTTACTTTCAATGGTATAGCATGGCAACCTTGTAGCTTGAACTCAAACTTGTCAAGTTTCTATCAATTCGAGGTCAAATGTGGTGAGAATACTCGCTTGATTCTATTGAAGTGTCACCAGTCTAGATACGAAAGAACATCATTTATACATATAAATGTCTCATATGATATTTAACGTCAAGGTCCTTCTTACGGCTTTTCCATAAAAAGAAGGCTGGTCCTTGTAGAAACTTCAGAGACATTTTACAATTACAAAAGCTATATTCATTAATAATTTAATCCTGTCTCCATGGTAACCTCAATATGGTGTCAAAATCATGACAGCAATTTTACCCAGTGACATGCTGAACTCTTTAACCTCTTATTTCAAATCCTTGGCTAATGTACACCAGCAGTTGATATTATAGGCTCCACTTCAGTGTAAACCTTGTTCATCCTGTTGTCAGTCCAGAGAACCAACATAATTATTTCATCTCAAAATAAGCCATTAGATAATTGTAGGACAGTTAACTAACATTTATAAGTAATAGATGTTGATGGGCTTATTACCGGGCAGGGGTTTGTTGTTGAATATATGTATATATAAATATGATATATATACATCCAAAATAATTTCAATTTTTACAAACTCCATTTTGATGTTGTATGCATGTAATTGTTCAATGTTTTCACATGTGGGTGTTTCTGGGTGTTATTAGCAGATTACATGTTTTCTATTTCCTTGTCGTTTTAATGTCGGGGGTGAAAGTATTGCCTTTAAACATCATCATTCTGTTGTTTCTGCTCATTCATTCTTTAAAAGATACAGATATAAAACTGTAATTTGGAATGTTGCTGTATAATGATAAAATGCAGGTCAAACTCAGTCACGGTTAAAGTATTTTATCCTGACAGAGTTACGGTCATTTAATTTTCCGAAATTATATCAAATTTTCATGAAAATGATGTAATCAACATTGAATGTCCTTGTCAAACTCCATTGGAAATTTTAAAACACCTCTTAACCATGTCAATCACTCTAAAATGCTCAAAACTTTTCCTTGGGTCCTGGGGTAGGGGGAGGGAGGGCATTCATGTATCTAGTATTTAGCAAAAGAGGCATGACCGGAAAAGGTTTTCAAGGTGTACAGAAATCTAAATATAATTGTCGGAATCTCATTCAAAGAAGCTACAAACATTTTTGTGACCTCAATATAAGTATACTATACACATTTTGTTTGAATTAATTTCTCTTGAAATAAATAATTTCAAGTTCACAAAATCATAGTAGAAAATTATGAAACCTTTAACTGTAATAGTGAAAACATTGATCCAGAATCGTTTAGGATATTATTGAATCGTTATCTTTAAATCTCAATTATTAATTAAATCTTCATCAATTTTGTTGAGGTTGAATTAAAATTCTAAGTATACTTTTGTTTTTTCAGATTTCTCCTAGCGTAACGCCATCAGAACTGAAAAAAGTGTTTGAAACGGTAGAAGAGGTAAGATCTACAGCATCACATTGGTCATTTACAATAATTGTTGTTTAATTTACAATATACATGTAAATAGTCTAAATTTCTAGTCCAAATATTTTTCTTAAAATGAAATGCTTTACATATTTATTGCTTGTTACAAACTAACGTCGTTTTCATAAAAAAGGTTGTATTTTGGAGTTCATTAGTTTTTTTCTACATCATCTTTATTAAATTTGCAGGTTTTGAAAAGGCCTGGTCCTTACCCTATGGTTCTGCCCCCTTCAAATGGAGGATACTGGATAGAGGGAGCTGATCAAAGCTGTAAATCATGTGACAAGAGGCGGAGCTATGAGAACGGGATAAATAGTTGTGCGAATGATTGTAGAATAGAATTTGATGAAACGGCACACTGCTATAGACAGCATTTCCTTGGGAGGGTAAGTGTCTCTAATGTTTATATGCCCAATAAGGATATACCATTTAGCTGGTTATAGGCGCAGCAATATTTTTGCTGTTTTTTACTGTATATTAATGTAATTACAAAAATTATTTGGTGAAATAATGAGACACATGTGTACTACATGCCCCATTATATCCTGTTTGCGAAATTTTGATTTGTAAAAGTGTAATGCAATTGTTTTAAACACGAAACTTTTTGTATTTTTCTAAACAAGACTTTTTGTTTCATTTGTTTATAAACTTGGTATCTCCCCAATAAAACATTTTATTTGGTTCCAGGAACACTTCAATTATTACACAGAAGACGACAATCTAGGGCCTATGATTTTATCTATGAAGGAAGAATATGTGTCTGATCAGGAACATGTTCGGGCAATACTCAGGTAATGTCGTAATTTCTAGGTAAAACAGGTAATTTCGTAATGCATGAACAATTCTTAAATATTTCCTTATGTAATGAAAGTAATGCTTGTACCGCCAACAAATTGAAAACGAAACCAAATAAGGTTTTTATTAACAGATATATGGAAATGTGTGAGCAACAGGAACTATGATGAATACAATAAGAATTCAGCAAAGGAACTTTAAGTATTAATAAAGAAAAGAAATAAAAACTCAAAATTTGCCCCAAACCAGTTTAATCACCATAAGTGAGCCTTCAGGAATCGTTACTCAGAAAAATTAATAATCGTTTGGTATTTGGGTCTTCTGATTAAGTTAACCATCCTAACAAAATCCTTTGATTTGATTATTGCAATTTAACTCTGTCATGTAATATTGAACTTAAGGAACCAAATTTTATCAAGACATCTTAATAAAAGAAAAAATTAAACCATTTGCCATTGGCAACACTTTAATTTACTAATGAGATTGGACTTTTTATTACACGGCATCTTAGTCTGTTACATTATGTCTGAATCTTATATCAGAACAGAATTCTGACTAAAAGAATACCATTGAACTCCTTTTTAAATTTCAGATATATGCATATATATATATAAGTATATTTTCTTCTTTTTTTTTCTTATTTAACTTTAAAAATAAAAATTGATATATTTTCAGAACACGTTGTTCAACACAGCATAAGCTGATACCTGTAGAACAGTTGGATTCCATACCAAACCCAATCAAAGTAGCCAAGGTAAGTTAATACTGTACTGAACTCAGTCATATTGACCAAGGGAAGTAACTCTGATAAACATTATGTAGATAAGGGAATTTATTTTTCTGAATGCCAAACACAATGGAAATTAGAAAGTCACTGAATTCGATCACATCAGCAAAGACAATTTGAAGTTGTATCTTTTTACCTAGCTGTAGTAACATTGTGTGCTTTGAAATGATACTGAAATTAAGTTACATACACATCTTACATACATATTCGTGATTATTAAATACTGGTACCTTACAAGTATGGGATACTAGATAAGATTTCAATAATACTAGCATAAAGCACACCAATTTGTTCTTGTACCCTTGCAGTGTGTTTGTGATGAAATTTCGGTTGATCGCTTCCACCCGGTTTTGACCACAAAAGGCTCGGAGATGATTGTACAGTATGACGAACATCACCTTACCAACGCCTACAAATTTGGCATCATCTACCAGAAATTTGGCCAGGTACCAGATTCATTACACATTATAATATGGATGACAATGACCGTCTTTTTTTTCTCCATGTTCACCTTTGACCTTCATTGTGATCAGATCAACTTGTAATGTTAGGGAGACTATCTGTAATTTGTTTAGATAATAAAAATTATTAAAGATGAAAAAGATTTCTTACATATAATGATCATAGGCCATTAGATCTTTCAGTACAATATTTTGTTCAAAAGCTGAAAAACTATGAGATCAAACCAACAGTGTCACTTGGTTGGTGATACTGCATAACCTGCAATCAATGTCATTTTGACTGACATTGCACAATTTTTTTGTCAAACTGCTGAAAATTTGACATGATTTCCAAAAAATTTACTTTGTGACGATTATAACCCATTGAATAAAGTCAGTTTATGTCTGTTTTTCATACTAGATTCTTCAGTTTAAGATTTAGTTTTGGTTATGAAAAAAGCCTTTCTTTGTATAAAATAATTAAGTGGTGAAATCTCTTTTAAAGACGACAGAGGAGGCGTTATTTGGGAACATATCTCATAGTGAGGCCATGGAGGATTTCCTCAGTGTGATAGGGGACAGGGTGCCGCTGAAGGATTTCAAAGGGTGAGTGATGTTTAAAGGGACATAACTCTAACATAATTCTTAAATTAAGAATTTTCCTGAAAGAACTGGAAATACATTTTTAAAAGTCAGTCACTTCTGATGGTAAACAGTTCTGGACAGAAATAGGATCACAAAGTGGTGATTTAACACAATTTTCAGTAACATTAATTTTCGGTAATTAAGATGAAGTGAATTTCATAACCCTACCATCTCACATTTTCCCTTTAGGAATGGGTAAATATTACTATATTTTATATAGGTAAACTACGTTTTTAAGTGAAATTTCTAATAATTTAAATGTATAAGGTTTCTTAACATGGGATGGCAATTAATGTGATCACATTTTATTTATTACTAGAACGACAATGGCACTCAGGTGAGAGTGCAGGCTTTAAGTGGCCTCTTCGTTGAGGTGAATGTTGTAAAGAAGAAAAAAAATTTCTCATCAAAAAAAGGTTGAGATAATTTCTATATAGTGTATGCTTATATGTGTGTAGTTTTCGTGGAGGATTAGACACCCATCACAGCCAGACAGGGGAGAACTCTGTGTACACACGGTTACAAGACAAAGAGATTATGTTCCACGTGTCAACACTTCTTCCCTTCACTGAGGCCGACCCACAGCAGCTACAACGAAAACGTCACATCGGCAACGACATTGTTGCCATCATCTTTCAAGAGGAAAACACACCATTCGTGCCAAACATCATCGCCTCGCATTTCCTACATTCATATATTGTGATACAGCCAGTTATTGACCCAGAGACGAAACAAACACGTTACAAGGTACAGAATCTCATATGTTACCAGGATAGATAACTCTATATACTTGATCCCTACTTCTACATCTCCCACGTCATTTCTTAATACTCACACTTGTTGTAAAGAAAAGATAATTCTACTCGCAACACCCAACTGCATGTGTTACAATGAATGTATACTAGTCTGAATGCCCCTGTATTGAAGGTAATACTTTACCAATGACATGCCTACTTTACATGCTGCAAGTTACAAAGTGTATACACCCATCTTCTCATTATCGAAATGCTCCCAATTCAAGGGAGATAACTGTCGCAATCATACCTCTTTTCCTACTCTTTCTATTAACTGCCTAATTCAGAAAGGCAGGTAACTTTTCCTGTGTTTGTCATACATTCTTTTACAATATTGCATAAATATGACTCTATAACATTTATCCCTTTCATTCTTTGGTACATTGTATAACAATTTTGTAGAATGTGTTAAAATTAATTAAAGCTGGATTAGATAATCAAAACAGAATTTCAACAACTAATTTAGCCTAGAGTAAATTATAATACCAATTCATGCTTTCCTGTTAAATTTATTGATACTTTTTCAGAAGAATACAAGTTGGTGTTGACCGTTTACATGAACCCGTAATTAACACCTGTTTATATTGACCAGTAATTAACACCTGTTTACATTGACCAGTAACTAACACCTGTTTACCTTGACCAGTAATTAACACCTGTTTACATTGACCAGTAATTAACACCTGTTTATATTGACTAGTAATTAACACCTGTGTACATTGATCAGTAATTAACACCTGTTTACATTGACCAGTAATTAACACCTGTTGACATTGACCAGTAATTAACACCTGTTTACATTGACCAGTAATTAACACCTGTTTACATTGACCAGTAATTAACACCTGTTTATATTGACTTGTAATTAACACCTGTTTACATTGACTAGTAATTAACACCTGTTTACATTGATCAGTAATTAAAACCTGTTTATATTTTATCACAGGTGAGTGTAACAGCCAGGGATGATGTGCCAGAGTTTGGACCCAAACTGCCAAAGGATGGAATGTTTGAGAAGGTGAGTGTGTGGCCATCAGTTTCCTGCCAGTAAAACAAGTTTTCTAATAAAATCAAATACAGTATGCCACAGTAAATGGGTATTGACATGCCTTGGTACTAAATTCAAAAAAGTAAAACCAATTAAGACTGATATTGAATATTATCGTTTAGATCACAGATTTCAAGTTGTTTAAATGTGTGTTACATTAATGAGAAACAAAAGCAGTAAGTAGTTCTTGGTGCTTAAGAGTTATGTTATTATTTTCCAGGGACCAAAATTCCGCGACTTTCTCCTGACCAAGCTTGTAAATGCTGAAATGGCATGCTATAAGGGGGAAAAGTTTGCCAAATTAGAGGTAAGATATCTACGTTTTACTTTTAATGTGTACCTCATATTATATGACATGTTGAACAGGTATTATATTGCATGAACAATATTTGGCCTTATTTAAGACCCTTTATGCTAAGCATTGAAGAAAGATTAATATCGTCGAAGAAATTTCTGAAATTCGTTGTGAAAAATGGTACTTATAAAAAAAAAAATGGATTTTATAGAAAAGTTTTGAATGCTTGTAACACATAATGCTAAGTTATAGCTCTTACTTCTATACTTATCACAAAGCAATCTGTTTATTGTGTACAACACAATGCCAAACTCCATCAGGAAGGTGCAGACAAGAAAGTGTGGTGTGGATAAAAGGAAACATATGTATGTTCTGATATTTGAAATTCTCTGAAAAATCAGGAAATCTTACCGTTTTTCACTGGAGTTTTACATCCATCATTTCAGGAACGTACACGAGCTGCATTACTTGAATGCCTTCACCAGGAATTACAACGGAAACATATAGAAGTCTTCGGGATGCTTCCTGTCCTCAGTTGTAAAACTGAGAGTAAAACATTCATTGAATCCTTCAAACGTGTGTTAAGTACCAAAGGGAGAAACCAGTCGGATACAAATCTTCCTTTGTCTGGGCGACGGAACGGTACCGCCTTGCCGACTGTTGGTGAGGACGACAAACCGTCCAGCGTAAGTACAAATGTTAATACACTGGTCAACATAATGGTCACTTTGGTATTATTTATGCATTGTAGGTCACATCCATTGTGCTTTGATTCGTAATGAAATGATACTTAAGCTCACAATTCTAACTTTTCGTTTACACTTTATCTCAGTTTGTTAAACAATCCCAAATACACTTCAGTGATTAATGTAAATCATTGTCAGTAGGACTTTTCTTAGAACAAAAATTTTATTTTGATAATCTTAAATGGATCTGAAAATGTTTTAACATTGAAAGTATAAAAATAATGGTTGATGTGTTATAAATATAAAATCTGATGTTGATTTCAGCCCAAAAAATCGCCATCACCGAATAAGAAGTTGAGTCGACAGTTTTCTTCAAGTATTGAACGAAAACACAAAGAAAAACTGTAAGTTGTGTTTGTATATTTACAAACAAACAAAAAATTTTTAGATTTTAACCTTTTATAATGATGATTTAATTTTGATGAAACAATAAATTTCAAAGTGTTCATAATTTTACATGTATTTGCTCCACTGCTTTGAGAGTTATTAAAATTTGCCGTTACCTTGTTTAGGTATGTTTACCCAAAATAATGTTTATAATGTTTAAATACTTAACATTTATGATACATTTATTTTTACAGTGTTCAGAGAATCGACAGCCAAAGTACACAGTCATCCTACAAAACATGTAGTGCTCCCTCCAGTCCACAATCTAGTCCCAGTAGTACTGCCTCAGCCCCAAGGTAATTATCTCCCTTTGTCAGTGCAAGTTTTCTTACCTAGAATGGATTTACAGCTAGACTTCAGTATCTCCCAACAACAATACTTTCGTATAATTTTTGTTAACACTGAAGGCTTTCTGGAAACATTATCTGCATATCACCTTATCTAGTTTTGTCATGCTATAACTTAATTTCAACATGTACATTTTGCTATTTGCTTATCTAAAATAAATATTTACCTATCTTACAGAATTTGCTACAGTGGGCAACTATCTCCATCAAACTCTGAAAGTTCATTCAACAGTATTGAGGATTATAGTAGCACACCTCAAATGTGCAATCCTGAAGATTCGGACACTGGCATGGTAGGTCACCAGGGGGCGCCACCGACTACCCACAATGCACTTGTCCGGGTAGGACATCTTTTAGTTGTGTCAAAGTTGGGTCAAGGTCACTGAAGCATTTAAACACAATTTAACCAAATGAAAAGACACTGTAGATCTGTTTGTCTAGAAATGTGAAATTAACTTAATACAACTTTATAGCATATCATAGCAGACTAATTCAATGGTTCCTTTAAAATTTGTCTGATTGATTCTTCGAAAATCTTGTTTGAAATATTAATCTTGCAGGATTATATATAAAAAAAAAATGAAATGGTGCATTTTTGTAAGCATCTTAAAGAGACATGTTTTGATACAATGAAACCCATAAATATGTACTAACATATACCATTGTATAAATCCTACGGTCAGCCCAGAGGGCCAACACCTCTTCTCATTGGCGGATTTATTAAAGGACAAAATAACATTTGCTGTTAATACTACAACACAAGCTATATATATGGATTGGCTGATTTCTGATAAATTTGCTTCTTTAAAAGATACATAAAGTTGCCTTGACTCAACTGTTTTCAAAGTTAAACTGTTTAAATCTTCTCTATAACAAAGCACAATATTTGTGTGTAGATATATAGTTGGGAACTTTATAAAAATTGTTTTTTGTTCAAACCAGCAAAAACAAAGACCATCATCCCTAAATCAGATTGATCTTGGAAATTCAAAGGATTGATATGTAAAATCTCATTTAAATTACAGGAGAGCATGTCATCTGCAGGGACACCAAATAACTACACAAAACCGTCCATGTCTAACGTTTACCACGAAGACGGATGTGTTTTTATCACGGATTGTGATCATGGTGAGCAAAATGTTTTAATTCAGTATTGAAAAATGTAGATGCATTTTTACAAAGACTGGATACTTTTTAAGTGTGCATTTGTATTTATTTTGCACATATTTAATTACTCATATTGAAATATAAAGTTTCTTTCCAATTTGATGAAGTTTAAGAAAGATTTGCTTCAGCAGTTTGAATGATGATCTCTATTCTATTTCAGGCTGTGATACATCTCGACAGCAGCTGGAATTACTTAAATCAGAAATTCAAAAGTTAAAAAATGAAAAAATGGAATTACTTCGTCAAAACAAGGTAAAAATAAGGAGATTTTAATTGACTTGTCATATACATTAACATCTCATATTACATAATACAAACATATGTAACTGTGGAATGAGCAGAGCAGCCTTGCCTGGAAACGAGGACACAACAGTACACTTTACAGTACATTAATATCTATTTACACTTCATATACATAAAAGGTAGAACACAGCTTACATTATACATGCATACCCACATCCTCACAACACACTAAGATGTTCTGTCTGCCCTATTGTCTTCTACACAATCAAATCTCTGACATGTAGACGTGAGCATGACTAACCGACTGAGCCAGTATACATCACACTCAATGTGTACAATTACTCCCACGATCTGTAAAGGTGGGTGCAAACATTCCAAGCAATGGAATCTACTTATATTGGAGACAAACTACAGATTTCAGTGTAAGTCATTCTCTAGTCAAAACTTGTGAACGCTGGATACTGAGAGATTTGTATCACTGCCACATAGTAATAACACATACCTGACCCTGTCTTGGGTCAGATCAGATATGTATTGGCAGGTCTATATTCTTCTCTTCCAACCCTGAGGTAAAAACTGATAAAAGACGGAGGAGGATGTAAAATGTCCATAAAAATTGAAAAAAAAAACAAACTTTCCCAATCAGGCTTACATTTCACCCATACTTTTATAATTGAACAATCTTCGACTTTGTAATAAAGATTACTAATTTGGGCCTCCATACCTTCTGTACTTCAAATAATTTACATGCTTATGTAATTGTAATGAAATATAGAATTTTTTATAGATTAGATGATATGTAATGTTACAAATAGTACTATTATCTTCCTCATATCATAATTGCATAGCTGCAAAAAACATTGTGTCTGTACATGAAATATACACATGCTGTCATAAACACAAAAACAACTCTATCATACTTGAGTGGACCACTCTTTTAAAGAATGCTTAACCGGTCTTTGTCAGGTAAATTCTCTATCCAAATGTATAACTAGCACATACTGATAAACAAACAGGGTACAAACACTTACCACAGTCAGCTTTTGATCCATGGCACAGCCTATGAACAATTGAAATTTCAGTCAGTTTGACCCATATTTGGCCCTACCCATTAGCTCCTGGGGTCATGAAATGTTCAACTTTGGTAAAGCATCTAAAGTCATTTCCATCTACAAAGAATATTTGATTCTACCATACCTTGAATTTGAGAAGATTTTTAAAATTTCAATCAATTTGACCCATTTTGGCCTTCCCTCTTCAGGCCCAGGGGGATTGGGGACTGTATAATTTACAATTTTAGTTTACTTTAGCAATGGAAGGTTTTTGTAAAATTTCATTGAAATCGGAAGTCTGCCAAAAAAAGTTGAATTTGTAAAAGGTTTACAACACACAGGACTGGATATAAGGTGATCGCACATAATATATCATAGAAATTTTACATATTTAGATCATATTCAGCTCTATATCAGTTTACCCTATTGATTTTATTCTGTTTCCCTGATCACAGATTGGTTTTGTCTTTGTAGAATGGCCAGAAGGAGATTAACGGACTAAAACAAGAGGTTACTAGACTAAGACTTTCCACAATAGAAATCAGTGCTGAAGCTACGGTGTGAAACAGTGATGGTGATACATATATAGATTTCTATTTTTATCTTTAGTACGGGTGAAACAGAAGAGGATCTCCATGGGTATCCGGACACTTGTCTTCTGTTGATTTGAATGTTTGAACGAGCATCAGAGATTATCTTCCAAGTATAAACAGAATTTTCTGCAGTCTTTTTAAGGGAGATCACAACATCAGTCTTAAACAGATTTTAGAAGAAAAAAAATCTTGATGCCTTATGAAGGTAGAGCAACACAAATTCAATTGATGCTGTAGGTTGCGTTTATGTGAAGCCCACTTCATGTATGTGATAGTCCAAGGACTGTGGTCACAACAGGATTACTGAAATATATGGAGCTTGGATGCTTGTGTTCAGAATTTAAACTAATTGCTTACTTAATAATTAGTGAGAAAGCAGCTATACTTGTAGTAAAAGTATGTCCATCACTGCAGAGGAATCTATGATTCTTGGAGTTGACAAAATGTCCTCAACAACAAGCTTGGAAAATGACGGACTTGTCCATGTTTTTACATGCACTGTTAACTATGGAACTTTTGACATAATCATATGACCATGTTATCATAATGCATAAACAGTAAACAGTGTCTTTTATGGTGATAATTCCGTTTGATGTCACATATAAACTATGGTTTTAAGCAGCTTTTTCACATTAGTGTATATGTAAGTGGTTTTGGACCAAAGGACTTCATAAAATGGCCATTATTATTCTGGATTCCAAAAAGAAATTGTTACGGAGAGTTTCACAATGTGTTCATGTTTGATATTGCCATCATTGTTATCGTCATCGTTATTACTCTTTGCTTCTCAAGTGGTGGTATCTATAGACATGAAATTATCATATGACCTAATATGGAAGCTCCTGACAGGTCATGTGATCTTACGTATAATCCTTATATGGATACACAACCTTAGACTAACTGGATCTTGATTCATTGTTGCATTCCCCCCAGGTGTCTCATTTTAAGTGCTATATATAGATCTCTATATATCATTGTGTATACCTTGGTACTTCCCTTTTTTAACACTGTGAAATGTGAACGAATGGATAACTAAGCTTAATTAACACATGGCCGTGATAAACGATGGTTTATCGTTCTCAAAAATATCTTTTGATGCATTTTCCCAATTCTAAGATATTACCCGTTCTTTGTGAAAAAAATGTATAGTAAACCAGCATAAATATTTGCAGATCTAGAAATTGCATTTTGAAATGTGAAGCAATTCAATATGTACTATATATAATGCTAAATCAATTTGTGAAATTGTTGCTTTCAAATATAATTATTCTGCAAAGTTTGTTTGCATGCAAATATCTTTTGGTTTATGAAACTTATATAATTATATAATAAAGATTTGCAAATGAAAAAATGCACATTAATATGAAAAGCTGTCGGTAGAGTAATTAACTTAGAAAAATTTCATTTCTAGCATGTATTTGTAGGTCTGATCTTTGAAGAGTGTGATTCAAAGGAAGGTAATTGTAAAATTGACTGATAGTTACAATGTTAATGGAAAAATTCAAACAAACAATAGAACAATATTTTCTTGTAATTCTGCAGAAATATCATCAGTACTCTCAACATATTGTTGTAACAGCATTCATTTTGTGTCCAAGAAAGATTGTTAGCAAAAAATATAGCCATGTACAAGAAAATAAGTTCAAACTGGTGGTTTTCACTTGTAGTTGCTATTTCTTGTAAGCTCTGAACAAAATGACATAATATGCAGTAATGCTTTTAAATGTGAATTGATAGGTATTAACAACACTGTTGAAATACACTCCAGAACAGAGGAGACACAAACTTCTCCACCTGTAATATTTATTGAAAGTTTGCAAGTATACATACTTTGAGCATCTGCTTTTGTCAATAAATAGGGTTTGTAGTTACGAATTATTATTAGACTCAAAGTCTTTTAAATTGTTGTGTTGAACTATCAGACTGCATTTTCCATAAATCATTTGAACACTTGCTTTTTACCTTTGTTCCAAAGTATAAACATTGAATTTCAAAACACGATTAAATACAAAAAGAAAATATTATTGTTTGTGAGTGGCTGCACTTGCTCTGTAGGAAAGGATATCTTACTTAGGTTTGCTGAAACATTCATTCCAAACATAAAACATTAGCACCTCTGTTCTAAATGATGTGATCAGGTCTAAATCAACAATGTCTACCGTCAATGTCTGTGTTGTATTTTTGCCATAACTGTAGAAATAAATTTTCTTAGACTCCTTCAAAATTATTTTTTTTGCTCCTATGACAGTATTTAACCATCTTGTTGACAAATTAGCCAAAATACAAGTGTATAAGCACAGTTGGCTTGTTTTCAATCTCGTTGAAATTATGAATTAGGAATCAATTTTGTTTGTAAACATTTGGAATCTGTATACAATTACCAACCAACTTTTTTTTTCAAATTTAGATTCTTGTATATATTTCTCAACTGATAGTGACCCATCTTTTTTCTGACCTTGTAGCTATCGTCAGGAACTTTGTCCATGTATCTACAGTTACAGCAACATATCCAGTGACATTGGTCACTGGAACAAAATCATCAGTTGTTATGGTTACTTTAGGCTATGAACTTTCATTTCTATGGTTAAAGTAATATCGTCAGTGGCTATAGGTATCATAACACAATATCCAGTTGCTATGGTTACTGTATGTATACCCTAGTTGCTATGGTTACCATGTCTACAACCCAGTTGCTATGGTAAAGTTTTTGTCCCAGATGTGGCATCATTGGTGCTATAAAGTAGAGATTTATCATTTACAACCTTGTGCAATATATTTGTATAAAATGTGAATTCTTGAATGGAAATTTGTTCAATATTATATGTTTATTATAATATAACATGGCATTAAACATGTTGAAAAATATGCTCTGTTTGAATGTCAAAATAAAAACAAATCTAGTCTTCTGAAAAAAATGTCTTTTTTGTTTTTGTGTGTGTTTATGTGTGACTGTCAGGTATGAGACACTAGTCTTGCAGCTCTGCTAGACCCAAGAGGCCAGTAGCATACTGGGATGAAGGGCTACCAAATTTGTTCAAATGAATAACCTTGACCTACTTTAAATGTCACAGGGGTCTAATGTGTTAAAATATTTAAAAACTTCTTCTCAACAACCAGATGGCCCATGGTCATGATATTGGGCCAGTAGCATGCTGAAATGAAGGGCTAACAAGTTTGTTCAAAATGACCTTGGCTTTCATTCAAGGTCATATGGGTCAAATAAGCTAAACTCTTCAAACTCCTCAATAACTGAGAGGCCCAGAGACCTGACATTAGGTCTGCAGCATATTTGGATGAAGGTCCACCGCGTTTGTTCAAATGAATGACCTTGACCTTCAATCAAGGTCATGAGATATCTAATACATTTAAACAAATTCTCCTTAATAACAATGAGGGGACCTCAGGTGACCATTAAAGCCCATGATCCTCTTATTCAGAGTGCACATATTATAAACTTGGCATCAAAATGTCCTAATTGAAATAAGTAGAAAGGGATTCCTTGGTCAGTTTATTAATTTCTAAACTCTAAGTGATGATTTCTTTTCAGATTTTCATCCATACAAGTAAAAAAAAATGTTTTTTGAAGTGACATTGAACTTTGTTTTAAACTGTCCGAAAGGCTTCTGCATCTTCCCTTTTGCAACCAACATACCAAGAACAACATTTGTGTATTAATCATTATCCTAAAAAGAGGCAGACACTTAATGTGGCGAAAATGTAACTGTTATAATCCCCGATTCCATAGCCAAAAGGCCCATCAGTCCTGTATTAAACTGCTGATGTCTAGTCCAGTGAAATAAATAAAAAGTTAAAATATTTCAATTACTTGAGATCAATGTTTGTTCATGAACTAAAAAAAAATGTATGTTCCACACTGTCATAAAATTAACTAAGTAGACTTTAAAAGAAGTTTTTGTCAAAAGACATCATGCCAACATGAATTTTCAATTTACTAAAACAATGTGAGACAAAATAAGCTTGATTTTTATTGATTAGTGTAAACATTGTTTTGGTGGTATGATGGGTGGTTTTTTTTTCAATGGTTTTAACATTAAAAGCATGCATTTGAGTTTCATGTATTTGTTTTCAATAAAATTTTAGTGACCAAAACACCTGTCCCTGTATGACCCTAGCTATTGAAACCTTTGAACCCTTAATAAAAATTCTATCATTATCGTTGTATCTATGTTAAAAAGAATTGAGCAAAACAACAAAAAATACAATCAAAATTAGAAAAAATAGATTTTTAAATTGATCCTTCAAATAATTCGATAAATAATTTCTGACCAGCATGTGTGCTTCATAATTATAGAGACAAATCAATTCTCTTTTTGTTTTTCACAATAAATCTTAATTTTGTTGGTCATCAACAATATTTACATAGGGAGCTGAATATGTCAAACAAAGCTTTTTCTGTATGTTTTTTCTATATCGGCTCTTTATCAATGACCACCCTAATTACAAATTTATGATAGTTAGCACTCACTGTTTACATGAACTGCATTTGTCCTTTAATAAGGCTAACAGCCAACATATATGCTGTAAAGGTATATCAATTTTAGCTGTCATATTTTAGCACTTTTCATACTGAAAATATTGCACTAAAATATTATATTGTTGTCTAATGATAATAATAATGATACCACGAAATCCAGATGTTGATGTTCCATCTTCTATGTCCTCTGTATTTACCTTCCTTGATGAGGCTATATTAATACTGTTGGGTTCTATCAAATACTGTTGGGCTCTATTGAATACTGTTGGGCTCTATTGAATACTGTTAGGCTCTATTTAATACTGTTGGGTTCTATTGAATACTGTTGGGCTATATTGAATACTATTGGGCCCTATTGAATACTATTGGGCTCTATTGAATACTGTTGGTCTCTATTGAATACTGTTGGGTTCTATTGAATACTGTCTAGCTCTATTGAATACCGTTGGTCTCTATTGAATACTGTTGGGTTCTATTGAATACTGTTGGTCTCTTTTGAATACTGTTGGGCTCTATTGAATACTGTTGGGCTCTATTGAATACTATTGGGCCCTATCGAATACTGTTGGTCTCTATTTGATACTGTTGGGCTCTATTGAATACTATTGGGCCCTATTGAATACTGTTGGTCTCTTTTGAATACTGTTGGGCTCCATTGAATACTGTGGGGCTCTATTGAATACTGTTGGGTTCTATTGAATACTGTTGGGCTCTATTAAATACTGTTAGACTCTATTGAATACTGTTGGGTATCCATGTTTGATTCCTTCATGATCTGATCAATGACCAAAGACAACCAGGACGTCGATTGACTCCTACTCCAGCAGGAGTTTTTTTAATAATGATAATTGTTGCTGTTGATGAGCTTATTCATCATTGTCTTAATTACCAAAATAAAATCAAAATTTGTGCCAAAACTTTTATTATACCAAATTAGGTAAGTTTACAGTATATCAGTATAATATAAACATTATCTATCTTACAACATTTGCGAAACAAGCTATCAGCTTATACTACTGTAATCGCTCATATTGACCTAATGGAAGCATATGGAGGGTCTTAATGAGGAAGGAAACTGGAATACTCCTGGTAAATCCATGTTGTTGGCAGGTGGCCCTGTACGTTTTCGTATCCGTTTCAGGAACTGAACCCCAGATGGCTAGGTGAGAGGAAAGTGTTTCCACTGACTACCCAGCATATTCTTGACAATTTTTTTTAATTAAGGTTATAGGAAAATCAAATATCATATTTTTGTATTTCCACTTGGATATGCATGACTAGACATAACAGCAGGTATCAACTTACTACTGGTTAAATATGGTATTTAAACAAAACAAAAAAACACTTGTTTGTTATATCTGTGTTTTAATCACTAATTGTAAATAGCACAAACATATAGCACAAACGCAGAATCAGAATTAGTCTACACATCCCTATTCTCACCAAATAGAGAGGTCCTGTACCCACCGCGCTGAGCTTTACGCATTATTTCCTCCATAAATGTATCAGCATTAAACACTGTACCTTTATTGACCAAGCCTTCAATGACTTTGTCACGTTTAGCCTCACGTTTCTTCATCTTATACGCCTTTTCTTTTCTAATCTCCGATTCTCTTTTCTTTCTCCACTTTCTCAGTTGGTGCTTCTTTCTCATGCGTTTTCTAATTTTAAGAATATTTTTAGCATGTTTTTCAGTATCGTTCTTCTTGGCAGTTGGCATTTCAACTTGGTTAAGTAAGGAGGAATTTGGCAAAATGATTTCTTTATCTATGATTGATATTAAATTTGGGCAATCGTAACTAGTAGTAGTCTTTTCCGCAATGTCAAGTATCGCTACTTTTTGCTTATGAAGTGATGGACATTTGTATTCCAGGTCTAAGCCTAGAGACGCTGAATCCAAAGCAATTCGGGTCCTCAAGTCTTTTAATCCAATGTCCTTTCCAGTTCCGAAGTCAGAGGCTGTCATGTGGTTTGTGTCAGGAAACATCCCAGGAAGAAAACCTGATCCAGACGGAGGCTGAGAACCTGAAAACAGAAATCTCCAGTCAAGGAAATTCTTCAACAAACGAGATGCATTTTGTATTGTATTGTGAATCAAATCTTAAAACACTAACAAATTTAGAGACATCAAAAGGTGTGTACGTAATATGACTATAATACAATAATATACTGGTTCACACTTTCAATTTCATTGATGAAAAGATGACTGGGTTATGACAGTTTTTTCTCTTGCAAGATTGACAAGTTCATTTCCTACAAATAGCATGAGTAATTGTGAAGTATCTTCAGACACTATTGCCCAAGATAGCAACATCAAAAAATGTATGGTTAATATGATTATTATTCATCATTGTGTCAAGTTTCATATTGTAAAACTGGTTGAGTAAGGGAGACAAATATTTCACTAGAATGCTGACATTACACATTAGCATTGTGTATCACTCTTTTTGTCAATTTTAGCTCACCTGGCCTATATCCGTCCATCAAATACCTTTTTATCATTACACTTACATCACAAAACTACTTTGTTAACTTAAACTGAGCAAAAGAAAATAATACCGTGGGACTCATGAATAACAACACTAAGAAATCATGTACATTACTCTTATCCAAAATTACATGCTAACAGAAAGTTTTCTTTATACATTACAAAAGAGGCATAACGCCCATAGTAACTTACAAGCATAACAACTATTATAAAATTATTAAGAACTGGTTTAAAGAGCAAGCAGTATTTCTCCCAAAAATCATTTGTCCACACACATATAGACAGACATGTACTTGAGTTCTAGCATAACCCCTTAACCTATTTGGTTAGGATTTTGTGATGTGATGAATAGACTACATAGGTTAACAATTCAACACTGTCATATCAAAGAAAGGCAGTAGCACATGTAAGTATGAAGGATCTGTCTTGATCTATAATAGTATACCTGTTACATGAGTTGACATGGATACTGACTGCCCATGTTTAATGATGGTCGTTGTGGCTAACCTCTGTAGTCTGCTACACAGTCTACTGACAGATATGATTGCCCTTCCTGTCATTATGTCAAGTTGGTCACTGAAAAAAAAAAATCTAAAAATATTTATAATAAGCCCAATATATTTGCGTTAGGGTGTAATAAACAAGAGGACCAATGGGCCTGCATTACTCTCCTGGTGTTCAATGTTCATCAAAAATACAATTGATATTAATCACAAATATATTAGCACATGCACTGGCATTCAAAGCAGGCACTTTCAATCAATTTCAACCAATTTCCACAACAAACAGCAGCTTCTTACACTCAGATCTGAACAATTGCAGTTATGCCCTGGATTAAAGGTACAAATTTTGATACAATGAATTATCCTCTAAATTTTGAAACCATTCACTGCCTTCAGTGCACAAACAACCAATAAAGCCTAAGTCATTGATAAAGGGTCTTGGAATGAAATTTCCTACATTAAATCTCTTCATCAAATTCCACATATTATTGAATTGATAATTGAATTAACAATCTGTCTTTAACATTTGATTTACAAGAGATCACAGAAGGGCAATCACAATTTTATACAAACAATTGTGGAAACACATTTAAGGTATGCTGGCACCCAAGCAAAGTTCCATACCAGTAGCATGTGTAAGTCCATGTTTTGTTCACATCCAGGACCAAAGGTCGAAGGACTTGATCCATCTGAGAAAAATTCTTCCATAATTGAAAAACAGGGATCCATATAGTGTTAATGGTTCTTTGCTAGATTTTGTCAAGTCTTGGACCATGTAAAAAATACACTTTTTTGCTTTAAGTTTAAAATGGAACTTCATACGCCAAAATGACCCTGCTTCTGAGTAACTAATCGATTATTCAAAGCAGCAGCTATCCTTCAAATGTAGGACATTTACAGGTCCGAGTAAACTGCAAATAATATGCAAAGTAGCTAATAGTATACCAACTGGTATATGGATTTGCAGCTTTTTGTTAACATTTTTTTTCAAATTAATTACCAAAGTCGAATTTAGTATGTCATGGAAACAAATTATTTTGACGTGGGAAAGTGCCTAAAATAGATGCAGTACTTCTGCCCTTTATGGTCTTTTAAGATAGTACAGTAACTACGGTGACAACGATTGCATCAAGTAGCCAGCACTTTCAGTAATCATCTTTAGTAAAAATATATTTACCTTTTAATAATATATTGCAGGAGTTACTGTTTAAACTATTCCGGCTATTCTTGGTAACGACTTCATTATAGGCCATTTCGCTCATTAAGCACTAGTTTATGGTTTTCCTCGAACTACCTACTTAACCGTCAATACGAGGAATATTTGTCAAATGTCTTATATAAATGAGTCCTAAGGAGGAACCCCAAAAGTGCACAACCAGTTAAAAGTGATATATCTATTATGTACCTGAACTGCAACATAACCTCTCGTCTCAGAAGAAGAAAAAAACTTTTGATTTCAAACAGCTGAAAGACTGATTTGTATACTTACAGAATGTAGATCACATGTAGCGATTGTCATTGATTCAGTCCTGCAAATCTACCGGACCAAGGGCGCAGCCATGTTGTAATAATCTCTACAGTAACCGTATGAAAGTTATTTTCATATTGTCCAACATAAAATGAAAACAAATGGTCTCTTTTGCAAAATACACCACAGAATTAAAAAAGTCGTCTTCATAGCCAACATATTTATGGTTACAAGTCGCGTGCTAGTTTTTCTCATTAATTTTCTCCAAGTTTGAGAGTAATAAATATCATTCGGAAGCTTTCGTGTTTTGCGGTCGGAGCAGTCATGAAAAGTCTAGAGAAGTCCTCATTGACAGGTGCTCGTGATGCTGACGACTCGGAAAGAAGGGACATAGTTAGACCTGCAACATTCTGGTAAAGAGGGTTGACATCCTCATTCAGCTCTAAATCGCCAACATGAACCCACAGGGTGTTACTTTGAAGGTAAATAAAACGACATGTAAAACTTTTATTGATGCATATGAAAGGACACTTTAAGAAACAACCCGAAACAGATGAAATATATGAGACGTTTCGTGTTATTGATTTTACCCGTATGTTGTAAATTAGGATCAATAGTGACGTTTAAGTATAGGATGACAGCTATATGTGACAATACTACTTCATAGGTATGCTGGTGACATGGTACAAAGTCAACTGCTGTTGTCCAATGGCTAATTGCTATGGAAGATTTTTTTCAGAAACCGGTATTAGATGTCAGTCCAGATGTATGTTCATCTGTTCATGGGATTTTATATGCGCACATGTCCTAATACTTTCTGATAATTTTTTTTACATATACATGATGAAAAAATTAAAATAAAATAATGAACTTCACATATCAAGGTTTTCTTTCGGAAATTTCAACTCCAACATATCTACTCTTTGCAGCGGATAAAATTCCTCTGAACTCAATATATATTATAGATAAATCATAGGTGCTTTTTAAAGATAGCTGGACAAAATGGTCATTTTCTCACTCACAGACTGGGATATTCATATGACTATCTACATTTGGAAACAAAATTTTCGAAAATATGTTGTCTACTTTTGACACAAATCACAGATTAAAACATCCAAGTCCATGCACAAATTATCACACCATTCAATCTTACCCTTGATAACAAGGAAGCCTTTTATAAGAAATACACAGGTGAATGTGTTCTAAAAATAGATACTTACATGTACAGGGTTTTACTGAGACAGTTCGCTGTATGATCACCACTGTATAACGTATGATTTATTGATAATTAAAAAAGTTAGGTATTTGAATCTTTTTTTGTTTACAAATTGTAGTTGATAACATAACGGCATGAAAAGTTATATGAAAGTGTGATTTTTTTTCTATGTGTGTGTATGTGTGGGTATTTTTTAGGAATTTATGTCTTGATGCTTCCCAGATATGTTTGACTTCAGAGAAATGTTATCGTCTTTAAGGTAATAACATGTTTGAGTTTCCTCCAACTGGATTATAATTAAGGCCAGCAAACAAATAAATGGCTCCAACCTGTTACGTTGGTTCAGACCAATATAATGTCCACAGTCTCATTCTGTTTGCTGATAGATGTCGCCCAATTTGGAGTCTTCTTTATATAAACACATTTATACAAAATGTATAATTTCTTCCCTCTCTTGAAAAAATATACCTTATCAATATTACTACATGTACAAATAACATGATGGTTTAGTGTCTTGATTGATGGAGTTAAATATGTAATCTATAAATAGACAGAATGTGGCTTGCTACTTAAGGAAAAGATTGCAGTTAACTTCCTGATGTTTAGTGAACCATCGATTGAAACTTCCAGTTGGTTTAGAAGCTTGCCAATACTGGTTGTTTCAAACATGGATATGATCCCAAGGATATGGCTGACAGTCTTGTGTAGATTTCTTTCTTTTGGATTGAAGTAGTGTATATTTTGGGAAGTATCATGTAACCAACTGGTCAGATCATCTAATTTAGTCAATTCAAGGTGTACTTAGATCAGTTGCTTTATCATGGTCATCAACATAGAAATTTGGATTATGAAATGTATTTAATGATTAAGTCCCCTAAACATAGCGTTTGATCAAAAACCTTACATATTTGTCTGACATGTCAAACACCATGATTATTTTTGTTTTCTTAGTAGACAAATGACTGTCCTACACAGATGATTGACGGGGTGAAATTCAAATATTGTTTGATTTTTATCACATTTTATATTGATATTAATTTAACACCATTCAACACTATGTAATCAAGTAAGACTGTGTGGGATGTTTTTGGGACAAACCAGTTCTTTTGTTACTCAAAAATTAGTCGCTGCCATGTGTTTCGTATGTCACTTGTTTTTCTGCTAATTATATCATCATTATACTCAACATTTAAATCTACCTGGGGTCATGTTGAGCTTTCATTTTTCAAGAAAAATTGAGAAAAAAAAATAAAATTCATGAAAGAGAACAAATATAGTTTTCTGACAGGGAAGGAATGTTCATGTTGCCAACCTCTTGGTATTACAAATATCAGGTCATGACAAGATAAAACCAGGGTGAATGGGTAGAAAAAAGGGTCCGGTGCGTAACAACCTTTTTTGCGTCTCTTTCTGAATTTTTTTTTCTCTCAAACATGGAACAGAAAAAGATTTACCCAAATAATTAAACCACTTTATACTAGTAATTATTTATGGTACTTACTTCTTCACAGCTTTATTACACCACTTCTATATAATTCTTGTAGTTACATCCTCCAGATCTGGCTGCTAAAAACAGTGCAAAGTTCATTAGCTTAGTAACATTATGTTTCCTGATGTTATCTTTATTTATTTATGTTGTTGTCCTTTCCTATTTCAGGCAATTGTCATCATTCATTTTATCCTTGTGATATGGTAAGTATCTAGTGATTCACATAATGTGTCCTGGTGAAGTCATCTTCCAGATCACTTCTAACATAAAGGTTTTCCTATATTTTCCTATATAAGTATAACATATATTTCTTGAGTATTTTTACTTTTTATTTTATTCCTTATTTCTGTGCAAAAATTCTTGCTCTTACTGCAATGACTAGAAAATAACCATAATTAGATTTGGACAAAGACAATATATACTCATTCTACAGTAGACCAAGAGGCCCAACACATATTTCTGTCTAAAGAAAGGTTTATTATATATTTTTCTGTAGCTTTACAAACCAATATTTGGGTAATGAATATGGATCTCTTTTGTAATTGGACAGGTATATTCTAAAAGACAAGAAAAGATTGCAAGAGTATTTATAACCCCTGCAGTTGGGCAGGAGGATATTGGAATCACCATGTCTGGATGTCCATCTTCCCCAAATATTGTCCGAAGAATTCCTTTAAATTTGTCAACCAATTCCAATAAAACCTCAATTCAATATAAAGGACTAAGTGTGAATGTGTATGCAACTTTTTGTTTCCCAGACATTTTGTTTGCCATGGTAACTGGTAACCGTTAAACCAGTTTTTCTATAAATGGCTAATACCCCATTGAACAATATTTATTTGTTTTGACATTATGAAAAAATGTTGATTGGAAAGAAATAAGCAAAATACTTAACCCTATTTCCTTAAGATAGCACATAGCTTACCTCCTGCATCATGTTCAGTGAGGTATCTTCCAGTTACTACAAAGACACCCTACCTCAAAATGACGCTGGCTGTCAATAAAGGAAATAAACAAAGCAAACAAAGCTGAATGATTTTTTAACATTGTAGGGCATCGATGATGGAGGGGTACCTACCCCCGGCCTACTGGGCGATGAACCTTTTTATCCTGATGCTTGGAGTGTGGGGCGTGGCCTGTCCAGAGTCAGCTGATGCTATTTTTATGGTATAAATCACATTTCTGTACTTGTGCATTTATTATTGTTAGGTTGTCTACCTAAAAATAAACATATTTCAGAACAATCTGACAGAGTAAAAGGTTAAGGATCTGACGGAGAAAATTCAGCATTAAGGTATTCATGTAATGTAAGGCAGAAAGTGATGAAAAAAAAATTGTCACTTAAATTTGTGTGTTTTCTTGTACTTTGACTCATGTATGAAAACATACTGGACATGTTGAAAGTTTGTATATACATGTATAGTAGCTACTAACCACAGTGTTCTGTATTAACACTGAAGCCAGTCTCGGCTATATCATTTTATCCTGCAACTGGCACTGCCATTGTCGGTATACACCTGTAACATATTTTTGATGTATTTGATAGTGACAGAAAACAGCTGTATTTTAGCATGTGCAGTAATTCAACAGAATTTCTGTCTGAATTTACTTAAAGTATTACATCTAGAAATATGAATAGTTGTTAAAATAAGTGATTTTATATATCATGAACTTACCTTTAACTTTTGTATTGATTTTTGCTGGGTTCCTGGACACATGGGAATACCAGGCAATGAAAAAGCAGATCGTGCCTCAAAGGAAGCTTTATCGCTACCACCAGTTGTTTTTAAACTTCATTTTAACGATTTTAAACCATTTATTAAACAAATTTTAAAAGCTCAGTGGCAGGAGGAATGGAATACATATACCAATAACAAATTGCACTCTGTTAAACCTGTTATCGGTGAATGGTCTCCAGGCTATAGAGACAACCAACAAGACGAAGTTGTCCTTGCCCGTCTTCGGATGGGTCATACATACCTTACTTATTCATTAGTTGATGAAGTATTGCATGTTTTTTTTCCAGTTCCTTGTTTTACATCTCATCAGTATCCTTCAGGACATAATCTTTATAGCTATACATCAGCCCCTGGCCTATGATGCTTATGAAGTACCAAACAGTAGACGAGGTAGGTATTCTAAGCTATACCTAACCAACAGTTATGGAGATAGATATTTTCAGTTACACCCAAACATCATTTATAGAAGTACTAGTAGATATTTTAAGCTACGCCTAAATAATACTTATAGAAATAGGTATAGTCTAAATCACCAAAACATCATTTATAGAGACCGATATTCTCGACTACACTTAATCAACAGTTATAGAGGTACCAGTAGATATCCTCGGCTACAATTAAAAAACAGTAATAAAGGTAGGTAAATTAGTTAAACTTTTTAAAACTTGTTTAAAATGTTGATGTGTTCTGATGTCAATGTTTTTCTAGACTTATTTCATGTACATGTACTTATAATAGTATTGATTGTTTGGTTTCAATATACCTACAAAAACTTTTCTGGCATAAACATGAAAGGATAAGTTCCACAGGCAGCTTTACTCTATAAACGTTTCTGTAGGTATTTTGTTTAATAGAAATTGCTTATGAATCTTCCATAAGTTTCTGATTTGTATACTGTGGTACAATATACTGATGATGTTCTATTCTTTGTTTCAAATTTCAGTGTCGGAATTCCGGTTCTCCACAGGGTATCCTTTCTTGTGTTAATTTTAGCACATGAATGTTAGAAGTGTTCTACAGTTAATTTTGTTCCTGCCGCCCATCATATAGTGTTTTTATTAGTAAGTCTGTCAAACTGTACATATATTATAAGTGATATCTTTTTAAACAATATTTTACAACAACAATATTTTACAACAGCATAATCACATACTGTCCCATTCTGTCCCTATCAGAAAACAGAAACTTGAAGCTTTTGATGAAAACTTATTATCTTTATTTCTGATCTATTTGAACATCCTTAAAGAAAATGAAAATTTCCTGACTGTCTCTAGATGAATATGATTACCAGAGTTCATTAAACATTTGTATATTCTTAAACATGCACTTTCATGTCACTCTCTCTGAATCCTGAAATCACATGGCCTTGACTGATCAACAGTATGAGCATTGTGAACTTGATTCTGAAGCCATTTACAGCCTTCCTCTTGTACCGTATCTTCAAGGATAGGGGAGGAGAATACGGGACAATGAACATTCCAGGGTTCCCAAATTTTGGTAAGTCTTTGTTCAGGTATTACATTCTAACAATTAGGTCACTACATAAACATTATAATTTCTTTTTCAAATTCAAATTTTTAGCCCACCATGATCAGATGGTGGGGTATTCAAATTGCCCTGCCGTCCGTGGTCCGTCCGTCTGTAAACAATTCTTGTTACCGCTATTTCTGGAAAAGTGCTGGATGGATATTTCTCAAATTTCATATGCAGGTTCCCCTTGGTCCCTAGTTGTGCATTGTATCTTTTTTGGACTGATTTGAATTCAAGATGGCCGACAGGCAGCCATCTTGGATTTTGGAAGTAAAAGTTTGTTACTGCTATTTCTTGGAAAGTACTGGATGGATCTTTCTCAAATTTCATATGCAGTTTCCCCTTGGTCCCTAGTTGTGCATTGTACCTTTTTTGGACAAGATGACAGGTGGCGATCTTAAATTTCATATGCAGATGGCCGACAGGAGGCGATCTTGGATTTTGGAAGTAAAAGTTTGTTACTGCTATTTCTTGGAAAGTACTGGATGGATCTTTTTCAAATTTCATATGCAGGTTCCCTTTGGTTCCAAGTTGTGCATTATACCGTTTTGGACTGATCCGAAATCAAGATGGCTGACAGGCAGCCATCTTGGATTTTGAGAGTAAAATCTTGTTACTGCTATATCTGAGGAAGTACTGGATGGATCCTTCTGATATTTCATAGATATTGGTTTCCCTTGGTCTCTAGTTGTACATTATACCTTTTTTTGGACTGATTTGAAATCAAGGTGGCCCACAGGCAGCCATCTTGGATTTCGACAGTAATACAGCACAAGCATATTGTCCATTATCCACCTGTAACTGACTGCTATCTAATAATACTTTGGGATCTTTTTCAAATGATATTTGCTAATAGGTGCTTAATAAAAATATCTTGTGCCATCATTTAGTACATTCAATGAAGACCAGTTCATGAACATTTACAACACCTATAACAAACAAACAAACAAAAAGAAACAAATCTTCAAGAACTGAAAACAGATCCTCAAATGGTGGACGCCAAGATCCCTCTGGGATCTCTTGTTTAAATACTTAATCTAATCATTTATTCTATTGATTTCTTATCATAAAAAATCAATATTACAAATTTTGATTAATGTTCATTTTTAGATTTGCAGGAATGGCAATAATTAATCTTTTACATAAAAGTTCAAAATAATCTGCATTTGTTTAGAAAAAAGATCCTTTCAAATAATGTGAGAGGTCATTGTTTTCAGGTAATTCACCAACTGCTGGAGGTCAGTATGAAAACATAGACCAACCTGTTCCCACCAATCAAGTGGACTCTCCCGATGATCACAACCCATACGGTGATAAGCCTTCCAGTCACCCATAGAGGTCAGAGGTTAAAATATACCTGAATTGTGATGGTCATTTGTGAAGTGGAAATACAAATGTCACTGGAGAAAGTTGATGGATGATATAGGTGTATTGTTTTATTTTTTATTTTTAAGGATGACTGGAAATTACTGTTATACTGATGTGTGTTTTTTCCCATTGAAACTTTGTGATGACTTTTCACATTAATTAACGAACATGGAAAAAACAATTAAACATTTTTTGTTGTGTGTGTGTTTGCAATATCAAGGTAAAAAGTTGTTTAAAACAGAAATGATATCTTTGTGTGAGGGTTACTTTAAAATTTTCAAAGAAAAAATTAATTCTACGTCAATTCCTAACTAAACATTGTTGTTGCATCGACAGAAATCTTTTATCTGTTTTTCACCGTGAAGAACTTGCTAAGTTCGTCTGATAATTGTTTGTATTTGGAATCGTGAGGATTAGTGTTTGCCATACTACAAATATACCGGTATGTTGTGTTGACTGTTTTACATAATCATTCATTTAACTGAACAACTTATTTTGGTGAGATTTGAAAGCTGAGAGGGAGTGAGAATGAGGCGTTTGTTATGTCCCCTTTATATATATGATTTTATATATTGGACAAATGATGTAACCAGGTATATTAATATATACATGTACTGTTATGTTAATTTTGATTTTATTTCAACATTCCAATATTTCTGCTGATTATATTATAGAAAATTATTTACAAATTCAGCTTTTAAAATGTTATTTTACCATTCCATAAAGCTTGCAGGTAAATTTACATGGGTATATTTAATAACTGGGCTGGGAAGACTAATTTTCCTACGTGATATCTATTCGTTATTTGGGAATTTTATTTTTAATCCAAATTTTTATTTCCTTTTGTCATCAGCTAGTTTAACCACAAATACACAGGAAGGATGACCACAGTTTTTGTTCAGATGTGTTATTTAAAGCTACGCTGTTCTATTTTAAAGTGATTATTAATTCCATGTTATGTAATTTTAGAAGTGATTATGTCATAACTAGATGGTTTTTAAGCTTGTGATTAATTAACTGTGCAATATTATTCCAATGTCTATGGCAACCATTATTTCTCAAAAAAAACAACTTCTTAATATTACTTTATACATTTTTGTACTGTACATATCGGTTTGTATAAATGAAACTTGTAGAAGCTGAATGTATTGGATAAACGGGTGACATATGGAAGATCTTAATATACCTTAGAGTAGGTAAGTTCATGTTCACAAAAAAAATGTGTCATATCTAAAAATACACCACTCATTGATTGATAATTGGTACAGCTTGATGGTACTTTAATTTCTACATATCTGTGTATATGTACCAGAAAGTACATGTGCTGAAGAACCAGTACCTTTTTCTGGGATTTATTTTGCATTGATTCTTTCAATACACAAATTTGTATTCAATTAATTGATAACTCTAGACTATTAACGAAATATGAATTTTTAGTCTAAAATCATTTTGTAGATACCAAAAAATGACTCCCTCTCCCTTCTAATACTGGAAACATATTTAGTTTGGCATTACAATATTACAACACATTATCATGTTTTACGACACATTATCACAAAGATCAATTAGTGCATCCACAATTATTGCAGATAAACAAGATGCGGAAACTGCAATTTGCATAATAATATTTCAGTGCAATGTTTTCAATGTTAAAAGTACTAAAATGAGATTAACTTTAAACTATATACATTTAAAGCATGTTAGTTTACAGAGTATGCACTCGAACAACCACTGTCAATTATTGATATAAAAAATGTACATTCCGAACTGAGTTATGTTTCATTAACTGAGTTATGTTTCATTAACCAGGTTATGTTTCATAAACTGAGTTATGTTTCACTAACCAAGTTATGTTTCATAAACTGAGTTATGTTTCATTAACCAAGTTATGTTTCATTAACCAAGTTATGTTTCATTAACTGAGTTATGTTTCATTAACCAAGTTATGTCTCATTTCACTTTAGATTTTTTTGGTCTATATACATACTGTATTCAGATAACTATGTATGCAACTTTTTGTGTTATATATCTTTAACCACTAACATCAATACTGGTTAATTAGTGGTAATTAGTAATATTGTATTTCTATATTAAAATCATTCCTGGGTGATATACCTGTGTTGTATACTTTTTACAATATTATGATATATACAGATGTAATTTATTGATGAATTGTTTTTGAAATTGTATTTCGCATTTGGTCTTATAAAAAATATTGACAAGGATGTGAAGTAGAAAACAGACTGTGAAATGATAAGATAAACAAGTTACAGTAACACTAAGTAAAAGTATGTAGTATCTACCTGTATATTAAATATGTCTGAAGAAGTTATGGTTACCTGCATTTTTTTCTCCTTGATAAGTTATGAAAATAAATATCTCAAAAAATATAGTAATTTAGATTCTACTTTGACTTCACAACTGAAAAAGGTATTTCTGAAAATAAGACATTTCCTCAAATCATACAGTGTACTAAATAAGGTTTCTTTCGCTTAAACAGTTGAAACGGTTGAACCTGCAAGAAAAATGCCAGGTACAGATTCAAAATGTGTAGTTTGAGGGGTCCAGCCGCTCCTGTCTGAACCAAACTTGCTGAATATCATTAGTTTCAGACCTTCAGCCTAAAGCACGCTCAGTGCATGCACATATTTCTGAAAATGTTATGCCATCAAGTATGAGTTGAAATGGATTATGTTTGATTGTGGCTCAGAAAATTCTCAAGTTAACCATGCATTTTGGGCTTTACATAATATTAGTTCCAACATGTGGTACAGGAGCACTTTCCTATTGTGGAATAATTTCTGGCTATCTGAACTGTTTCAACAGGTCTATGCGAAAGCTGCATCACTTTGTCATTAATGGTTGATCAGATTGTGGTTGAAAAGTTTTAGACTTGTTGAATTAATATTTTCATCAGTGAATATTTTGAATGAGGTTTGCAAGATTATTCATTGTAAGTAATTTATGAATGATTTTAAGGAGATTTTATACTTTTTAATGTGATAAATTAAACCTTTTTCCCAATCTAGGTTTTCATTAGGAGGTGAGAGATAGTGTGGGACATTCTTTCATAGATTTTGTACAGACTAGTGCAGATAACATTTTCATGATCAAATAAAGTTAAAAGCTTGATTCGCAAAACTTTCTTCAATACATCTTTATTTATGGTATGATTGGTAATCCACCACAGTACCTAGAACATTATATACAGGGAGATAATCCCTATCTCTATTTCATTTTAAAATTGATTTTAGTGATGTTGAACTTATTTTGTTCTCATTCAGTCAGTTGTTTACCATCTTTATCCCACAGAAAGTCGATGGCTGGTATTTCAGCCCCTCCTCTGACTTTGTCATGGTGAAATGGCCCTGTGGCATAAATACAGGAAGAATATGTTGTTTACCGTTTGGATTCTTCATAACGGAAAATTAAGATGCACAAACTTACAAATCTGTGTACCTATCCATGTCAGAGCTTGGATATAAAGTTAGGTAGGATTTTCAGATTTCTAAAGTAGTTTTTCTTCAGTCCCTAGTTGTGTCCTATTGATTTTAGGATTGATCAGATAAACAAAATGGCTGACAGGTGGCCATCTTGGATTTTGACTATAAGGATTCTTATCACTATTATTTAAGAAGTATGACATTGAATGTTCATGGTTGTTGCATGAGAATTGAATGGGTCATTCTCAAAATTCAATAAAAAAGGTTCCTCTTAGTCCCAAGTCATGCCCTTTCAATTTTGGGAGTTATCAGAACAACACATGGATACAACATGGCCATCTTAGATTGGACAGTTGAAGATAATTATCACTCTATCTTAAGAAGAATTTTCAAAATCCATACAAAGAGCAAAAACAAATAAATTAAGGGAAAATATCCAACCTTTAAAGAACAAATAAAAATAAAATGATGGTGGTGTCATGATGCTCTGGGACCTGTTGTTTATGGGTTGATCCAAGTTGTTAGGAAGATTGTTGTGTCTTGTTGGTATGTACAAATCAAAGAGGCACATGGAAGAAATAAAAAAAAATCAGAGATTTCAACGGAAGTGCCTTCCCTGTTTTATTGTTATTTATTGTGTACAGCTTTGAATTTACGCTGTTTTTTTTTTCGAAATTTCAATAAATCAATAATCCAGAAAATGTAGATTTCTCTAAAAATGGCTTCAAGATCTGCATCTGTTGAAATGTATTTTATAGCTTTTCATTGGCTATCATCTTGACATGATTACTATTCAGTTGTTCGACCTCACATTCAGAATCTCCATCAAATGCCCATCCCCCACTCTATGCAAATAAAAATTTGAAAAATGAAATCATTGTCAGCTACAAAATGCATGGATTTTGAAAACCATACCAGAAAGCAAGATGTCGTTAAGTTGTGAGAATTGTTTTGCTGTTGAAATGACATTGTCATGAACTGTTATTCGGTACCTCTGTTTGCGTACATGTATACTGTTAAATCTGTGTGGCTTTGTTTTGGTTTCATCAGGAAACCCCTATACACAAATTATGAACACTATCATTTTGTATATACTGGTGCATTCATACTCCTAAACACATCAGTCATAATCTGTCGCCTAAATTTCAGTTTGAGAAGTTTAAAGCAAATGTATTCATATTATATATACCCATGAATGTTTTATTCCATATTTTTTAATTTTAACTAATGTAGCTTTAGCTTGTAAACTTTCCCAGAAATAAAGAAAAAGTAAAAAATCAACGTGCTGTCTTTTTAGTATATATATATACTGTTATTTATATACCCCCGGTATAAGGTGGAGGGGGTGGAGGAGGTCTGGTGGAGCTGCACCAGTGGTAAAGGAGGAGAAGGAAGTTAAGGTGATTTGTCTTATATAAAGACCTTTTGTTCACTTGGATGAAATTAATTTCCAAACAATTATTTACAGCATTCACACATTAAATATGCTTCAGGTGAGTGAAATCCTCATAAAAAGAAAGATATTGGATTAATTACAAAGGATTAGATAACAATTGCTAAACTTGCCACCAATATATAGGATTTACCCTACTGTCACTCTCTTAAAAAACTTCTAACATTGAGTTAGAGAGTTTAAGAGGAACCAGGATTAATATCTTCAAAATCTTCAATTGCCATCGTTTGGAAATTCCAGAGAGACAACTTCTAATTATACATCCACCAGAACAACAGATGACCTATTATTTTTTCGTCATTTTTCACTCATAGACAATAAAGAATAGTCATGAATAGTGTAGTTAGAACTTCAATGATTTTTGTGAAATTCTATAATAATGTCATTTATGACTCGCTAGTCATAACTTAAGATATATATATCTGTAGTTTCCGTTCTCTATACATAATAACAAACAACACCAACAAACTTTCTTGATAAATCTGTATTAAGATTGTCTTTAAAGAATAAATTGATTTTTATCTCCTCAAAATATCTAATGCATTCAATTACATATTAATTTACATACAATGTCCTTTGAAGGGTAACATCAATTATTAGTTTTTCTTTCAAACTGATTAAAATGCATTAAACAAATAAACTATTCTCAGGTTTACAATTAAGATTATTTCTGATAGATCCCTGAGGCTTTTCGTTCAGAAATCAGTTTAAAAAGGGTTATATATATGAATTTAATATATTTAACATTAACAATCATTACAACAACCCTTGTACAAACCTCTCATCAGATAACAAAATAAACTTAATAGGTAAATAGAAATGAAATGAATTATATATAGTATCTTCTCCATATACTGCCAGTGCTAGTGAACTTTAACATTATAAAGGGGACTGATAGACTGATGAAAAGAGAAAAGATGATACCTTGACTCGGCAGTAAGCAAACTGGAAAATATCAGTAAAATTATTGTATTGCAGAAAGTAAAACAAATCCAAAGGAGAAAATCTCAGTTGGGAGAAAATCTCCAGTTGGGAGAAATTCTCCAAAAAGAAAACCAATGTCTTACCATGTTTATGTGTGTTGTACTTAAATTAAAAAAAAGTATTAAGTATAACAATTTAGCAGTCTAAACCTGGGTAGAGTAAAAAACACACTTATTAATTAATAAGTAATTTTGGATGGCTTTTTCTGGCTTTCATATTCAAAACACACTTTCATCTTACGCAAATTGTCATATCAAATCACAGGTATTCTAATCATACTGCAATCAAGACAGCCATTAGGTGGCCAAATTATGTTACGTCTTAGTAAGAGGTTGAGCTTAACAAACATGGAAATATCATTGGTTTGTAATTATGATAATACTGTCAGGTGGGCTTATTATCGGAGCTTACTATCAGATAAATAGTGTACTGGAAAAACACAATTCATGAAAGGATTGCACAAACTTTTTTTTTTTTTTGCAAAATAAAACAATTTCAGAAAATGTTCTTAGCCTAAATAGCAGATTTGATGATTTTTCAAGTAACTTGTAGTTCCTCAGCAATTTCTAACAAGATTTACTTTTAATTTTCAATATATCTTATCAATGCAGATGTACAAACTTTGTAATTATATTGTCAAACACGTTTTGAGAAAGCCTTCAATGATTTGTAGATTGGAACTTGGAACACCTGTCTTGAAGTAAGATTTAATCATGATTTCAATGGTACAAATTAAACATTCATCTTGAGTCCAAATGTTGAAAATCACCACTATAACCATTTAAAACTTTGGGAATAGAAAGTATTGTCAAAGTGCTTTTTCATTCACATGAAAATGATATGTGTAAAAATGTATTAAATATTATAGGGATTAACAGCAAAACAAATGTGTGTCAGATAGGTGACAAAGGAAGGAAGTTAGACAGGAATCTCCAGCAGAGTGTTAGAAACGGGACAAATTAAGAAAATTAGACAGGAATTCCCACTAGTAGGTTGAATAGAGGACAAATGAATGAAGTTAGATAGGAATTCCTGCCAGTGTTTTAGATAGCGGACAAATGAATGAAGTTAGATAGGAATTCCCGACAGTATGTAAGATAGGTGACAAAGGAAGGAAGTTGGACAAGAATTCCTACTAGTGTGTTAGATGGGGGGAAAATGAATGAAATTCCCATCAATCTACTTACGAAAAGCACAATGACTGGTTTTCCATTAAAACTGCAAACTCTGGATAGATTTACCACGGGTCAAAATATATTGATCCATTTGATTTAATTTCAAATATAATGAGATTAATCAGGGGTTCAAATTTTGATAGATATCCACAACAGGGACAACAAGAGTATCGCAAAGCAGAACAAAATATGCCTGTGAATATCCAAAACAGCAAAGGGGCATAACTCTTATTCAAATCATCTAATCAAAACCCCGTTGAGGAAAACACAATTTCATATCATGGTGATTAAGCCTACAAAGTTTCATAAAGATCGACTGAAAAATGTTGGAGGAGATCTCCAGACAAGGTTTCTATAGTGAAATAAACAACGGGGCATAACTTTTATTCAAATCGTCTAATCAACACCCCATTCATAAAAGCACAACTTCATATGGTGAGTTTCATAAAGATCCTACAAGGTTTCAAGTGAAATTAACATAAAGATCATAAAAGCACAACTTCATATGGTGATTAAGCCTACCAAGTTTCATAAAGATCGGCTGGAAAAATGTAGGAGGAGATCTCCGGACAAATAAAAGTTTACGACGGACGCCGGACGCTGGACGGACAGACAGCGCCCTACCGTAATACGTCTGTCTTTTGACGGGCGTATAAAAATTCATTTTTCAGATTTCTTTCATTAGTCAAAATAAACCTTTCCTAACCTGCTATATTTCCCTATCATGTTGGTTACTTGGGCTGTAGGGGGCAGGATGATGGGGTGGGCAAGAGTGCAGTGAAAGAAAAAGGCACACATAGTATTTGTGATAATGATGACAATAATTTTATAATCAACATTCATGATCTACAAATTATTGGTGATAATGATAAAATGCAGAAATCTCTCTTGATATCTCCCAATATATCTCATCTGTTTTCCTAAAGGATGAATATTTCTTAAAACAAAGATTTTTCAATATATAAGAGTTTATGTCCTTTTCATAACTATTGCCACATCCATTCACAGAAGATTTTAACTTCCATAGATATAACAACACCAGCCATAAGAGTTTTCTTCAGTTGCTTAGCATCAGACGTAACACTCCCGGCAAGCATTCCAGACTGTCTTGAGCAGTGTGTTGATGTTCTCTTTCAGAAGAACTACACACAGTGTCTGACGCCGGGCATTGTTGACATCAGGACCCCATACCAAATTCTTGTTTCAATCGTTCCAAGTCATTTTTATCACAGATTTCATAAAGATCGGGCCGGCCCATCAAAGACACTGCCATACGTAGAGTACTCCAAATGTTTTTTGACATAACAAACTGTGGATCTTTTAGGCCACGGCTTTGACTCTGCATATTTAAGGCCGTTAAAAAATGTTCCACCGCCTCCCTAAAAACACAAAAATGTCCAGAAAGTTGTTCATCAATTAGACCTGAAGTAATAGCTAAGGTCAAATTCACTTTCATAAAACACATCAATTGACTTACTCAATAAACCTATAAAACATTTTTTACTGTCTTCCTGTAAATATTTTTGTTAATTTAAGCTGTCATTTTATTGACTTTTAATTTTCAGCTTTGTTTACATATAAGCACAATCTATTGTTTTGTCTCCTCAGAAAGCTAGCATTGTAGGCTCATGAGCTGTTTATCATGAAATTATCAAAAAAACTACTGAAAAACATTTGCTCCATACAAAATAAAATGGCCAGGGATCCGTACAGGATGTTATACTTTGTTCACAGAATAAAACTGTACTCACACTCTAATGTGAAAATATGATTTTTTTTTTAAATCGCAGGGCCAGTGCAACTTCCTATCTGAATTTTTACAATTTTATTTCGATCAATTTTGATTTGACTTAGTCGCTTCTTAGATTTCAAACTTTAGCAGCACTGACAAGTCTTAAGACTTTACAGCTGTAAGCTGTCATCTGGAACTAATTTATCTAATTCTTAATTTGTATTAAAAGGTGCTGTTCACCAAAATCTCTTGCAAAAACTGAAGATTAATTCTAGTTAATGGTAGATAACATTCAATCTCATTTTCTTTGTGTTCGATTAATTCTGTACAACATAAAAAGGTCACACAGGACAATATTATCACTATTCTGTAAAATATTAATTTTTTACTTACTTGTGGGCCCCGAGGTTGATACAAGCTATACCGAGGTTGTAACGTGACCGTATGTAACCCGGTGCTATCTGTAAAGCATGGTGGTAGGCCTCCACAGCTTCCTCACTCCGGTTACCATTGGCAAGTGTTGCTCCTAGCTTGTTCCACAGTAATGCATCCTACGGAAACAAAAATCACGCTTATAAACTTCAGCGTGTATACATAGACATAGACATATGGCTGTATGGCCGATTCTGGTAGAAATGCATGTGTGATATTTGCTGACTGGTCATTTTTATTTGAAAAAAAATGACCACTCCAACTCTGTGTTTGCTAGGTCTATCGCCGTTTACAGCCAGGGTTTTTCTGAGACGGAGTCTCAAAGTAGTAAGCAATGGCTGAGGCAGGTTAACAACACAAATTAATAGTTCTACAATCTTTATCTAAAAGTAACAAATTCTTAAGACATACCTTAGGCCTGACTTGTAGGGCTGCTGAGAAACAGTCGACAGCTTTGTCATACTCTCCACTGAGGTTAAAAAGCACTCCCAGTCCACTCTATAATATACAATCAAAAGTATAAAGAATACAGTTTTAACTATAATTCTACAATCAAAACCACTGCGGTTGGTAATCAAAACAATATGTTGCCATATAAACTATAATTCCACGATGAAAACAATATGCTGCCATATAAACTATGATTCCACGATGAAAACAATATGCTGCCATATAAACTATTATTCCACGATGAAAACAATATGCTGCCATATAAACTATGATTCCACGATGAAAACAATATGCTGCCATATAAACTGATTCCACGATGAAAACAATATGCTGCCATATAAACTATTATTCCACGATGAAAACAATATGCCGCCATATAAACTATGATTCCACGATGAAAACAATATGCTGCCATATAAACTATTATTCCACGATGAAAACAATATGCTGCCATATAAACTATTATTCCACGATGAAAACAATATGCCGCCATATAAACTATGATTCCACGATGAAAACAATATGCTGCCATATAAACTATAATTCCACCATGAAAACAATATGCTGCCATATAAACTATGATTCCACGATGAAAACAATATGCTGCCATATAAACTATTATTCCACGATGAAAACAATATGCCGCCATATAAACTATGATTCCACGATGAAAACAATATGCCGCCATATAAACTATGATTCCACGATGAAAACAATATGCTGCCATATAAACTATTATTCCACGATGAAAACAATATGCCGCCATATAAACTATGATTCCACGATGAAAACAATATGCTGCCATATAAACTATGATTCCACGATGAAAACAATATGCTGCCATATAAACTATGATTCCACGATGAAAACAATATGCTGCCATATAAACTATTATTCCACGATGAAAACAATATGCCGCCATATAAACTATAATTCCACGATGAAAACAATATGCTGCCTTATAAATTATAATTTTATATAAAATATGATTCTACAATCAAAACATTATGCTACAACATCTAATACTGTAAGCCCCAACACATCTATATATTGAACATCTATGTTCAGTAATACGCCTACCCACATCTATTGCAGCTTCAGGATGGTTTTAATATCATTTTTTGCAGTAAGCAATCAGATAATTAGGAACTAATGTTTTGAACTTAACTACTTTCACCAAAGACCAATCAAGGATATAAACACATGAATGCTTCAGGTGGGTCAATAGGACAAGAAAACTGTGATTTTTTTTTACAAATTTTCACAAAATTTTAACACATATTGGAAAATAAAAAAAATCCTCTGCATCAAACATTTTAAAGTTTCTCAATGATGTATTTTTTTTAAACATTTCTAAATCCAAAGTTTCAAGCCAAATGGATGTTTTTTCAAAGTATACGTTATTTTTCGGATTCAATCCAAATAAAGTCTCTCTCATTAAAGAATGACCTGATTTTGACGTATTGGTTTTCTAAATGTTTCCACATTTTAAACTTATTTTAGAAATTCAAATTAAACTAAAATTCCAACCAAATCATTAGTAGATGGCTCAAACCTAGATTGGAAACATTTCGATACTGACTTCCACTGCTGTGGTTGGCTATCTCTGTTGTGTATGGTCATGGCTAGAGCCGTCACTGACGAGCATCACAATACTAGATAGCTCTAACTTGTTTACCTACCTGTACATCAGCATCAATATCCTGGGGAAACATTCTCGCTGCCTCAATATATAAGTCCTTAACTTCCCCATGTTCTGAACTGCAACAAAATAAACTTGATATCAAAATTGTATAAAACACTTTTGCTAGAGTATTTCGATAACCTAATTATATAAACTTCAATATAGAACCCTGTTTTATGAATTACAGCCATTCTTTATCTGGCAATAAACCCAACGTTTATGTTTGGTAGATCTACCCACAAATGATAGTTCCTTGTCTTGTTTTAAGCCCACTTCATGACTTTGATTCATCGCCATTCTGTTGGGACCCCTCGGCTTATTGAAGGACACTGAAGAGCTATCCTCTGATCATATTAAATATTCCAGGTGTTACACTTACTATCGTTCTCTGCACCAACAACATTTCATGTCGAAATGTTGTTCCCATTTGTAACACCTTGAAAACTAGACAAAAAGACTAGATTGATCCTTTAATGAACATCAAAACAATCGAGGTCACAAGTTGGTGTCACACTTTTGTAATTTTCAATGGAGCTCATCAGTCTGAAATTGGTCATTTTTTTACTCTCCAGGTACCCACTCTAGACCAAAAAAATTCCCTTTTGCCTTCAATTTTGCAAAAAAAAGTAACGTTCCAGGGGTGCAGAAAGCAACAGTGTGTCTGGAGTATTGAGGATGTTCAAATGATTACTCTCCTATATCAAGACATGAAAATTTACAATCCTTTAAAAGTCTAAAGAATGGTGGCTATGAATATGATGTCCCACCTTCCCTACAAATATTCATATGATAATTTAGAAAATTTTGTCAAAAATACTCAAACACTTTTAAAAAGAGGTATGACTGTTTTCAAAAATGCAGAAAAAGATGCCTATTCACAGGAAAACTTCCAAAACATTAAACTCTTTCAAAAAATATGAATTCCAAATATATTTTAGGTGGTTGAATCTGAATTCTTGTAGAAAATAAATAAAACTGCCCAGGATACAGGTACATTTCAGAAACTTATTCTTAAAATGCTTAAAATAGAGGAAGAATGCTTCTAAGTGGAAGGGTTCAAGTTCAACAAATTTGTAACAGAGAAATTGACCCTAGAATATTATACTCAGTGAAAGTCAAGTTTATTCCCACAAACCTGTTACATACAAAATCAAGTTTAACTCCAGCGTATGCAATATCTTCTGAGAGGCAAGGACATGGATTTGAGTGAGGCAGTGCAAGGATATTTATTCAGCGATACATAAATCGGGAGAACACTGATTACTGCTTTTAATATGTTTTTCATATTTTCTAAATAAGAGAGGGCAAATCGAGAGTTGTACTGCAGTCATTCTGTTTCAAATTATCACTGATAGTGATAGAGATTCAGGTCTGGTGTTGTTGCCAATGGTGTTAGCAGAATAGAACGAATTTAGCAATGCTGATTTTTTTATCCTTTGAAATTCTAGTTACATAATTTTGTTTCTTGTTTTTTGTCATATGTCAAGATTTAGGTTCTTTCTGAAGGATATTATACACTACTTTCAAAAATTAAACAAGAGGCCGATGGGCCTTAATGGTCATCTGACCCTATGACCTAAACAAGAGGCCGATGGGCCTTAATGGTCATCTGACCCTATGACCTAAAAAAAACACCTTATCACAAACTAAGTTAGCAATCTGAGTGTAAGTTCTAATTTCTATATAATTATAGAATTCTCATAGGATGTGCTGGTCTAGATAAACCGCTCACCTGAATATAGCATATCTCTGAGGGTTAAGTTTGGCTGTGTTTCTGCCAAAAATAACAAAATCAATATTTTGATTCATGAAATGGATTTCAAATACCCAAAAATTTGATTTGGATATATTTTTTTTTCTTTCAGAAATTTTCCAACAAACATATTATGTTGTATGTATGATTCATTATGGCAATCCTCCATACACCCAGTAACACACCAAAGAGCAATCATTAAAGCAGATCCCAACAATGAATGGAATTTTTTTTTCACCATATGATACCAAGAAAGAAATATTTTCCAAATTAGAAACCATTCTGGAGTAATGTTCAAGGAAAAGACCAGCTATTGAAAATATCTATGCAATTGACCAATGACATCTCATCTATGATTGGACCTGACAATCCATTCACAACCTACCTTGATACATAGGAGGAGGCCTTGGGTTCATTTTCAATCTCCCCTGGGACCAGGGCAGCATACTTTGGGTTATGTTTCAGCCAGGACATGAGTGCATGACACGCATGAGAGGCCAAGGACTCGTTTGTATAGCTCACTCCGAGGGCCATTAAGGCGGTCAAGTTACCGGGACTCAGGTCCAAACATCTAGAGATTACAAAACCACATTACATAAATATATTTGTTGTAACCTGTTTTGGTGACAATCATAAAAAAAAAACACTCATAAATTAACATAAATTCTCGTATCTACCATAAATTCTGGTACAAATTATGTACAAAACAAGGGGCCTAGTGGCCTTGACGTTCAGTTACCTGAGGTAAGAAATATTGAATATTAACATTACAGGGTAAGTAGCATTCAAGTGTCACAAAAGAGAATCTCTGTACAGTGATGATCATTTCATTTTCCAACTGTCTGCAAATGAATTTCATAGAACAATGAACATATAAAAATTTTGTTATTTTTTATTCTGAAAAGGTAGACACATAAAACACCACTGTATACATTTGTCTTTCATTATGGCTCATCCTAAATTTCACTGTACCTTTTAAGTGCAGCAATGGCTGCAGGGTCCTGTTCATTCTCAGCTTGTGATGTTCCAAGGTATTGCCAAGCCTGACAATAGAAGCATGTAAAAGATTGTAGAAGTTCATTAATTTGGTATCAAAAGTACCAAGCATTAAGAATAACTTAACATAAATCCTGTATTATGTTGTGTAAAGCATCACAGAGTACGCATTAGTTTATGAAATTTCTGTATGTATTCATATACATAGTGATCACCAATTTTTCCAAGGATTTTCTAATAAAAATTGTTGTTTACAAACGCTTTTTTTTTTTTTATTTTTGAGGTTGGAATAAAACCTCAAGAAAAGACACCTTGAAAATTAAATTAAGACAATTTCGTGACTTTTGCTGAAATTACATTTCATTTATATCAAGCTGTAAAAAAACTGTGGAAATTTGTACCAATGAAATAAAGAATTTTCTTTATTATTGTCTACGTAACTCAACATTAATACCAGCCATTCCCTTCATTTTCTTACCTCAATGTGCTCTTCATTTTTCTGTACTGCTGCCTCAAACAGTAGGACAGCATTAGGAATATCTCCTTCACTCAGCTTCTCTTTGCCAGCCTGGAAGGGGTCTGGGTGATCAAGGAGAGGATTTTCTTGTTCAAACTCATACACCTGAGACAAACAATGTCCAGTTAATAACACAGTGTTAAAGGAATTCTTACACATTTGCATACTGGACACAAATTGTCACATTAAATCAAATAAAAGTGATTGTTGGCATTGTTATTTACTAAATCAAATCAGATTAACATGCAATAAAACACCCTATTACATTCTCAACTCAGAATAAGAGTGTAAAAATTAATAAACTTTGTTTTAAAAAATTGGCAATTTACTGATATAAACCAAAGGCTCCCATTAAAAACTCCAAATCTGATGATATCAAGACAAATTCTCAAGATTTCAATATTGAACCGTGTGAAATTTCTGTAGTTTACTGTAACATCAGAATCTGGTGCGGTCAAATTTTAGCACATCATCAATTTTGAACAATTAATGGTAAGCACAAAGATGAATTTGCAACAACTGCTATATTAACAATTGAAGTTAAAATTAAAGCAATCAAATCATATTTAAATGTTAAAACTTAGGTGCAAAAAGCTATAAAATATAATTACCACTAAAACATGAATGTTTACAGTATACAGGTAAAAAAAAGTTGTTATATTAAAAGGTTTTTGGTTACCTTAAATGGTTCTGTCTCCTCAAACTCTGTTAGCCAGGGATGGCCATCTTCTCTTGTTCTATAGACACAAATTTAAACATTAACAACACATGTCTATGTAAAACCAACTCAACCGCTTTTTTCCAGAGCAGAGAAGCAACTTTTCTTCACAGAAAGGCAAGGTTTTTTTTCAAAGAGGCAATTTTGAAAATCATAAACCTGATAGAAATTTGAAAAAAAAACTGTTGAGTGAAAATTCTTTGTAATTAATCAATATCACTGCCAGTCACAGCACAATCATGTTTTAGAAACATGGTCTTGTATTGCCTGAACAAGAGGCTCATGGGCCTTAACGAACATCTGAATATTAAAACTTTCAGGAGGGAGAAGGGTTATTTTTTCTACTTTGAAATGAAATCTTACTTAGAAGCTGTTTTCCATGATGCAAATGGTAGTTTTGGTGAGGAGTAGGTAACTGTAACAAGTGTTACCTATTTTTTGACAGTAAAGTTGCAGCTCAATCCAACTAGTGAAACTTTAGAAGAAGTTTGAAATAGGTGTTGCACAGGAAAACCAGATTTCGCAATCATATTACAAACAAAAAGGCCTCCCTGGCTTTCATAGTGAAGTTTTGACAAGGTCAAAAAATAACAACACTTTGCTGGCTCCCTTTCCTTAACATTCCCATTAATTTTTAGCTCAATGTCACCAAAGTAACTGGAGACGAACTTCAAAATATGTTTTTCAATATGGCAGCTATGGCCGCCATCTTGGTTATCAGACATATTTAAAAAATAACAACACTTGGTAAGGACCATCTTAGGATCTGTTCATGCAAGTTTGAGCTCAATCCCATTGTTCGAACTTCTGAGAAGTCTGAAATGTCAAAAGTTTACACACGGTGGGTGGTAGATGACAGACGAAGTGTGATGGTGATAATGTATGCATTTCCTCTAAAATTGTGCGAAAAAAAAATGGAGAGGTTCTATTGAAAATCTTTTTATATATTAGGCATTTATAATAACCACATAAATATATACTGACACTTACTTATCTACTTCCTCCCAGTGTTGTTGTAATTTATCCCAGAATTCCTCATCATCTGTGTGTCTACTTCCTGCCATTTCAGCAAACTCTTCTTCCCATTGGTCAACAACAGATTTCCCAGCAGTCTACAGGAAAACACAGTTGTCACGGCAACACATATAAAGCAGGTATATAGTTATAACGTTAGGAAATATTGGTAGAATATTGAATTCTAACTCAACTACCTATTTTTCTCTCCCTTTTAATAACTGTACAGTGATCTTTCAAATTTAAACTGTGATAGTTCTCATGTTGTACAAGTATAGCAGAAGATAGATTTATTTCCTCTATCTACAAGAAATTTTGTTTTTCTGTTCAGTCTTAAAATCAAGGAAACAACATGGGAACAAGGGCAACACACATATGAAATTTCTGGAAGATGGCTGCCTGTCTGTCATTTTGGGTTTTTCTATCACTCCCAAAACAAGTAAACGTTAAAAAAAAGGGGGCAAGGGGAATCTACATATGAAATTTGAGAGGGATCCATCCAGTACTTCTCAACGATCAATATTAACAAGAATCGTTTACAGATATATGGATATCAGACCATAAACTTGTGATCTGAATAGCCCACTGTCTGATAAGGTGGGCTTAGACACATTGAATATGTTTTCTATTTAAAAATACAAGTGTACTTAAAGATAAATTTCATACTATAAAAATCAGTTTTCTTGTATGTTAGTAAAGAAATGTAATATGTTTTCATATTTTTCTGATGACTTGGTTTTCTCATTTTTTTCTTCATCTTTCATCACATTTTTGTTAAAAACTTCCACCATCATTCATTTGTGTTTATGATGCATTGTATTTTTAAAAAAACATTTTAAAAAAATAATTAAGTATATGTGCATGTGAAAGTGACATTTTTATACTGCAGTTAATTTTTAAATTACAGATAACATAAGATGACATACTAGATATATTACCTATATCTATCCATACATATTACTAGTAATATAATCATATCAACTACGGAATTAGTTTCATGAAGGAAATAGCAAAATCACACAATCAAATGACTGTGAAACTAAAGTCTGATTCATAAAACTGCTATTTCATAACTATCATCAATCAAAGAATGAAAATATGAAAAGATGGTTGAGGTAACAATGAAGGTAATAATTAATGCTACTAAGAAAATGTAGAAAAAAAACAATTTCAGGTTAACTCTGAATAATGAGTGCAAGCACACTACGATGTAGAGAAATTGTGTTGGATGATAAACGGTAGCTAGAATACCATATAACAGGGTGTGTTTTGGACAGTGTGTAAGTTTCGTCCTATCTAAGCATGCAAAGCAATTATCACATTGGCAAATAATTGAGAACGTCTTACATTATATGACCCTTCCTCTCAAATAGCAAAAATATAATATTCTAATTTTGACACTAAAAGGTGAAATTTACCATGGACTCAACAAATCTGTTACCAAAATTGAACTTGGCTTATTTTACAAAAATTGTAAGACCAGCTATTTCAGGCTTGTGTTAACCACTCTTGATGGCCGGAGCGAAAGCATGGAAGTGATCTAAGCTTGGGAGAAAATCAGAGTACCAGGGTAAAATCAATGTGATCCAGCAGGTAACACCTTTTCACTTCATACGAGGAACTGATTCGGGGACCCTGTATGTCTAAGTGTTGCTACTGTGCCACCTGAAAACCTGTTATATGGTATGTTAAATGAGTTTCAGATTATCATGAAGGAGATGAGAAGAAAAGCATGAGAGTTAGCACAGTTCAAAACCAGTTTAGGCTAAGAAAAGTGATTTAAAATTACATACAAGATAAACATCCAAAATATTTTAAAGCATTACATATCAGAATATTTATAACTGAATATTTCAGATATTAATTCAAGACAGCTAGATTTAATAAAAAAAAATATTATAAATATAAAAGTAAGATATTTATAAAAGTTGAGCAAAGCAGGGAAGCAATTTAAGAAGGCAAGGGGAGTGTGCATGTGAATAAGGAAAAATCAGGGTGAGGTATGGCAGAGGTGGGTAGGGAAAGGCAGTACTAAGTATGACAAGGAAGCAAGTAGAAATAGCAGCAGGTAAGTAGCTAAATAGGTGTACCTGATGTGTCACAAATTCCTGGGCCCAATCGTCAGCCCGTTCCACAGGAGTTTTCTCTATAACCTCGTTATCTTTTATAGTTACCTCCCCATCTCCTATCCTCTTCACAAACTTCATAAACTGGGGACAAATTTGCATCATGGAGTAACTTACTCAAATCAATTCTACGTTTAGATGATTCTGTCTATTTGCCTAAGGGTTTAAACATGTAACAGGTTTTGACTAAATTTACATTTTGATTTTAAGAGGACACAGACATTTTTGTCATCACATTTTTGAATTAATTCTTACTTGAATAATTTTGTAGTATACCATACAATGGAGTGATGAATTCGATCGGATCACATACATGAGTACATTTTATACTCTTCAGAGACAGGATTTTAGCATTAATGATATTTGTGTAAAAATCAATGACAAATAAATGTTTTCAAGTTTAAACCTGTATCTAAACTAATATATAAATTAATCACTGACAGGAAAATTAAACATGGTTACAAACTTTTGTCCTGAGAAATTTTTCTTAAGATATGCATGTATACGTTAAAGAAATAAAATTGACGACCAATCTTCTAATCACTCAAGAAAAAAATCCTACACCTGGGAAGCAATTGAGATGAATTTAAGCCACAAAAGCCTTCTAGGAATGGACAAGTGTTTATCTTCATCAAAGATGATATGCAGGGAAGGAATGCTGGGACACACCAGAAAATGGAAGAAAGATTCATGGAGTATTTTGATGGAGGGACTACAAAGCAGTGTTTTTTTTTACTAAAATTTTTTTCATCACAAAGGCTCTGATTTTGTGAAAAAAAAATGGTTGTGAAATATTTAATGATGGTTCTGTATACTTGACCTTATTGTATAGAGTCAACAAGAACATTTTCCGAGACTTAATATATGTACCAATCCGTGCCATAACTGACCTCAGAGTTAGTTAGCTTGGGGTCGTCTATACCTCCCACTAGTTCCTTGGCTGTTTGAGATAACTCAGCATCATTGGACTGTTCTGTGGTGAAGTCATCAACCCATTTGGAATCATCTAAAATTAATTCTTTTTCAAATTCTTCTGTCCTGTAACAATATTAACATAATATTATATCATTATTATAGGAAATATCTACAAGGATACAAAAAACATCAGGTAAATACCAACAAGTCAACAAACTCAAATTTAACAAAACTAAGGTAAAATATTTACAAAAGAAAGATTTACATGGAGACTCTTGAACAACTACAAGATGAATAAGACCAGGTGTTCCAGAAAAGTAAGTGTCTTCTGCTTCACTGACAACACCCATCATGTAAATCTTGGTTAATCCAAGTAAGTAATATCACATTCTCAAATGAGAAAAAGGTATAAACAACATTCAGAAAAACAAATACACCAATATTTCTCTCACCAAAAGTGCATATGTTAGATAAAGTATCTGTCTGTTAAATGTTGAACATCTGATAAGACTCAGATTCAGAGCTTTTAAAATAGCAAAGGGTCAAAACTATTTTGCCATCAGTCTAAATGTTTTCTCAGTCTAATGTAACTATACCAACAACAAATAACATGTAATATCAGGGCTCTCACACCCCATTTTGGGACTGGGGCCCAGGGGCCTTAGAATTGGGAAAAATAGCAGCATTTTCCTTAGAATTCGGAAAACTTGGGGTCTAAATTGGGAAAAATATATACTATTTTGCATTGGGAATGGGCTGAATATCGGTCCCAAATCTGGCAGATCGAGAGCCCTGAACATCTATCGCTTAAGGCAGATAAACAGATAATTTGATACAAACCAGGGCCTGTGTTCTGATTGGTCGAGATAGTCTTCAGCCCATTTGACATCTGTAGGAGGTAGTATTGCAGGTTTCTGGGACATAAAATCATCTGCCCATTCTTGTTGTCCCGATCCTTTCCCATCACTCAGAAACTCAGATGCCCAGTGGTCTTGTGAAGCCAGTTCAGCTATTCCTAGTGCTGTCAGATACATAAACAGTTATCATTAAACCAGTTTTTTGCATTTTCCATAATGAAATAGTTACCTCTTTATTAGTCTTTCAATGTGTGTTTAAATGAAACTTTTCTTTTGCACAAAATGGGCATATTACCTGTTGAATAATTTTGTCTTCAGCATAGACCATAAGATCTTATCATCTAAATAGATCAGCATTTTTTTATTCTATCCTCATACAGGTGATTTCGCTGAATAGTTTCAAAGATAAATCAAGACTAAGTCCAGAATCAAAATCAATGTCACTTATGCAGGGAAAAATCTGTGTGACCGTTACCTCTTTGTGGGGCATATTTCAGTTCAGCCTCCTCAATCTCTCTCATTTCCTGCAGAAGGCCTCCCATGTGGAACGTTTGAGGGGCCATAGATGTCCGTGGGCCTGACAGAAACTCATCAACCAGCTATAAAAACACAAACAGATTCAATACATACTATATTTACTCTCACAGCAGATCATTTGAAGATTGTAATGAAAATCTTGCACTGGTACTCGTTATCAATCCAGAAAATTAACACTGCAAAAATTTCAAATTAATGTATCTAAAAACTTACCTCATGCTCTGAAATTTCATTGATGGGACGACTTGCCTGAGAATAAAAGAAAAATTCTAGAATAGTTCAAGAGAGCAGAGTGACAATCATGCTAAAAGCATGACATATCACAAATATGAGAAATTAATACTTATCAGTTTGTTAACATCAATTTCACAATTTTTCATCAATATGATTTATAGCAATATTCCAATGCAAGATCAGTTTTGGTATCTACAGTAGCGCTATTTCAACATATGTAAACATTGCTGATATATGCAAATTCTAAATTCCTTGATCATTTCCACTATTTTCAATACAAAAAAATGTATGTCTGAGTGTTTTAGTATGTACTGCATAACATATTTCTTACCACTCCAAGATGTGATGAGGGTCTACCAGGTACTAGACCTTCCTATAACAGAACAACAATAAATTTGTAACAAAAATTAAAATTATCATAATAGCTCTACAATGAACTTTCGTTTTCACATCTTTTAAGAGTATATATGTTCCTATGGAAAAATAAGGGTCAGTTACAATTTTCATTTATAAAGTATGATGTTGAATGCCGTTTGAAAAAAAATGTTTACAACTGGGTGTATAAGTTTATGTACAGACTGGAAAATATATACATTTATTTTCAAAACTTGCGGTAATTTGCTCAGGTCACTGGAATGACTGATAATCTACAAACTTATATACATATATGAAATAAAATTAAAACCTGGGTATATTGTACCTGTCGCAATGCCTTATCCTGTGTGAAATGACTTGTTAGCTTCATTAGAGAGTTGGCCCCTCCACACTCCCCTTCCACAAGGTTTCGCATTGCCATCTTTCTCTCTGTAGGTAATGATCAAAGTAGTCCTAGAAAAAAAACAAATAAAAAATATAGGTAGATATAAATCTTACAAGGGAAAAAATAATATATCAATATTTTTGCAAAACATTTATCAATTCTGGAATGGCAGTTAAGTCTTCTCTGATACTGTTGCACTGTGAGACAGTCTAATATCTTTCTTTTCATTCTTTTTAAAATTATTCTGATGTTTTATCTTTCTTTTTTACCACTGGTAATTAAGAGTAAGAACAATTTACAAAATAAAGAGACAGAAATAAGAAGCACAGTTTAAAACATTGATAATAAACACGTAGAGCTCATACTGGACTGTGTTTATTTTATTTGTACCCCTTAAAAGGCACTTGGTCAGCTGATGTCTGTTATTAACCCATGTATCAGATTTGGTGTTCCAGTATCTCACCAATTAACCTAAAACTTAAGAAATGTTGTGAAATATTATACATCAAACCTAGGGCCTCTGGCATACATGTACTTGTCTTGATAATGCTCAGCTGATCAAGCTTAAGAGAAGTTCTTGCTAATCAAATGGAATATGGCACCAAGTATTTGGGAAAACAATGTATGTGGGCTAACACTTATTACTTTTGCACACACACAGGTTTCTTCATGGTTTCAGGATTTAGGTCTGTTAGTTTTCCCAGATATGTATCAGTGTTTAGCAGATGCAAAAGGTAATACCATTTATCTTACAATGTGACCATCTGGTACATTAGCAGATTTTAGTCAGGAACAGCATAACACATTTAAGGCTTCGTTGGGAACTGTCATGGCAGTCTTCATATGTACATGCGCAAATGTGTATGTATATGTGACAGAGGTTGCCATTATTTCAATGTCTCTGCTAGGAAATGAACCTGGGATAACATGTTTTCTAGTCTCATGCCCAACTGATCAAGCTTCAGATACATTCTTTCCAGCAGAGAGGTAAAATAATTTACCTGGTTACTTGTGGTTTATGAATGTGTTGACACATCACAACATGTAGCGTAAATGTCTAGATCTTACTTCAGTACATTACACTGTAAGAACACTGCGATAAGAGTTATGGAGATATTTCATTCCTATTTTCATGAATGCAGATTTTTCAACTGAAATGGAGGTTAGTTGAATAACCTGAATTGTAACCCTTTGCAATGATAACAAAATTGAAAACATTCATGCAATGGCAAATTCAAATATTAGATAATAGAGTAAGTTCAGATAAAAAGTATACACGCTTAGATATTAGCATAATGACTTACACGCTAAATATAACAACAAACAAGTCCTTAATTCTTTGTCAAATACAAGATATCGTCATCCACCATGTTGAGAGTCCATCGTTCACAAAATGACCGAACAGCTCAGTAGATGAGTGCACTTACTACTTCCGGTATGTTTCAATTCTGGTGAAATAAAGTGCATGACACAAATCAAAGGTACTTGATAATTTCTAGATTGTTTGATAGCTAAACAGAAATTGGATACAATGTTTATATTTCATAAAACACAGATACAATCTCGTTATCTACAATTTACAGAATTGTATACAAACATTTTGAAGATCTTGATTTGATATATGCGTATTAATCTATCAAGGTGCTTGGTCGGCCATATTGGATTGTTGACATTAGAGAAGAGTGTCAAACTAGAACGACAACGCGTTAAATCGTGACTATTTCAGTTATTTGAGTAGCTATCGTCACCAAAAGAAGATGCCTACATCAGCAGAAGAAATTCTTAAAGGATTCAAGCTGTATCCTTTCAATTTGATTTGTAGTTACTTGAAATAGTGAATATTTGCATTGCCATTGACACAAAATTGTAATTCAGTGAAAAAGATGGGAAGCGTTAATATTCAAAATTAATTCACGATGTGAAATTCCTTAATCGTTTGGTTATCTTAGATTGGATATATTCAGGTGTTCTATTTGATTCATTGACAAGCTGAGTTTTTAAAATGGAAAAAATCGTAGCTATATACTGGTCGACACGAGACAATGTCCCAAGAAATACTGTCAGAGATAAAATCTGCATGCATAAGTTATTTCGCAGCTATCAGATAAACTGTATGTATAGCGGTTTCAGGCGCATAATTGCATAATATTGTGTGGAGGCGAAATCCGGGAAAATTGTATGCATTGCATCAGCTAACCTTTAGCATTTTGCACTGACAATTTATTTAGCATAATAGACCTATGCTAATATAAGGAATATCATGACATAAACCATTTACAATCACGGTGCCAGGGCATGTGAACAAGTTTTATATTCAAGATATTAAATATTAATTCATCGTCTGGCATGTTTGTAAAAAATGACACTGTTTTTTCACAATAGTTGTTCAAATGCCAACTCAGATGATGCTGGTCGCATATTGTTTTCATTGTATCCAGAATGAATTAAGAAGCTGAAAAAACATAGTAATTTAAACAAGTGGTCTTAATCAGTACTACTTATAGGATTTTTTTTACTGGTGAGTCAAAAGTACCGTTTCTAAAAATTTTGTTAAATCCAGTTACAAAAAAGGTAGAGTGGGTTGAGAAAGTCTGACAAGAAAGCACAAGGCCAGGACTAAAATGTTTTAGTCTCAATCCATAGATTTGCTGTTTTGTTTTGGATTTTCAGCAACTTGACTCCTCTGTTTGCATAAGCAATAGCTATAGCTCAGCATGCATCTTGCATATGTTATATATGGACTCTCACTAGCTGTTCCCAGGCACCTGTAAACCCAAATCTCTTAAAGTAAAAGCTCATGCATTTTTTAGCTCACCTGGCCGGTTTTTTCCCCACAGGAAAATGATTGTCGATTTGCAATGTCTGCCATCTTTGAAAACATTGTATTGTCTCATGATTGATCAAGTAATTAACCTCTGACATGCATGGCAGAGTATGATACTTGATTACTGTTGAAATACTAGATTTGAGTGTCTAATCCAAAAATTAACTCAATGGAATTGTCTACTACGACAAAATTAATGATGACCTTTAACTATGCAACGATAAGACATATAGCCACCGTCTGATAATGGTTTAAGATGCTCACAGATATTGGGCTGAAATTATATCACACCTAATTGGTGTGCATGATTTAGGACAGTAGGTAATAATATGATTAGGCATTGTAAACAATTACAAACTCAGTGAACATGGACTTAGTTGTTCACCAACGACCAAGTCAGAGTGAAATAATGCTTAAAAGTCATAATATCTCGCTAGGCTCGATAAATAGGTAGCAGTGTTCAGTTGTCAACACCTTCCCAGAAATGCTGTGCTTTCTAAGTGAACCAAAGTTGTTTGTGCCCAGTAATGTGTGCAGACATAACATGGGGCCTGAGGTGACTTGATGAAAACAATGAAGTGAAAATTGACTTGGCTCAATTCATAAACTTTCTACAAATGAACAAGAAGAATAAGTTTATTGAGATAATAGATAAAACATCAACATCTGTTTTAATTGAAATTAATCATCCAATATAATTGATATCTAAAACATGGTAGACAGATATCACTTGGATTCCTACATAGCGTTCTTAATAGAATTTTTTGATACATGGTTAAAAGTATATTTTAAGCTCCACAAAAAGTATACATACAATTTTCACATCAGGATTTTACTGTAAATAAAAAGTAAAGGATATGAAGAGAATGTATCATGTTTAGTAGATTGGTCTTGTTTATAATCCTTGACTGAATATCAGAAACTGGATGAATCTCCGAAATGGAGAGAATGGTAAAATAATATGGCAGTCTTCTGATGATTTGTAAGTTTTTTTTGTCACATTTTAATTAAATTATTTATAAATCTGTATGAATAAAGTTTCATACCTTCCTAACAAGGTAGACATCCTTGACCAATTAGGTTCACAGCAAGGGTCGATGAATATGTTTAAAAAATATTAATAATATTGTGACATGATCTACCCATGTGTAGAAGTTGTTGGCTGCTTTGTCTAATTTTAATATTTTGTCAACATTTTAATAAAACCTTTAGATATTGAATGTTAGTTTGAAATAAGACATTTTTCGGCGCTGTGTTTGATGATCAGACTTCATACTTAGGTGTTATGCCTAAACTCAATCATATTTGTATATTTACAGATCTAGACCGGATGTAGTACATGAAGGTAAGATAGAGCTGGGCACGTAGCTCAATAGACAATTTTGGCAGTTGAATAAAAAAAAACTTCTAATTTTAATTTAGTCTTAAAATGGACTCCATTCCCATTTGAAATTATTCAGCATTATACATAATTCTCATTATTTGCAGTTTACTCAGAAGAAGTTACCAGTATTTCTTAAATAGTAAATTTTCTTCACAAAGAAAGAGAAACCAGTCACATTACAAACCAAAAAGAATGTGCCTGAACGTTGACACATAGAACACAGTATAATCCATGACATGTAGATTACATGTACAATGTCTGCAGATTTTACAGCAGTTTGTAATCGATCATAATGCCAAAAATGATTGTTAATTTCAGATGATATTTGTTCATGTTTCTAACTGTAAGTTACGGGGTTTTTATATGTGACCTTGACATTACATGCCAATGTGTTTTTTCTTCTCACCTGCTTATGGTATTATGTAATTTATGTATGTAACATTATTAATGGTGATGATTTTAATGTTGATGCGAATTCTGTGACTTGTAGACCAGTTGGAGATATATACTCTCAACACTGTCACTTGTTATTTGTAGCTCGGGTACCAAAGAAAATTCTCAAATGTAAAGCAGTGTCCCGAGAGATCAATTTCTCATCACATGAAGCTATGGAGTCTTTTAAACTGGAGCAGAAAGTTTTTTTTAAGGGCAGCTGTCTGGAAGGTATGATTCATTGCAAATATAAGGAAAACTCTGGATTTAGTCATTCTCATAGCTGACATTTACCTGGAACATAGGAAGTTGCACTATCATCCTGATAAGATAATTTAACGTACATCTAGAAATAGATATATATTTTCAAACCAAATATCAAGAAGTATTGTAGGCCTAGTCCTGTAAAGCAAGGAAAACGCATGCAAATCCTAAATGTCGCAACAAGCAGTTTTAAGCAATTTTATTCAATGATGAAAATAGTAATTTGATAGTCATTCTAAAATGAAAAAAAAATGGGGAGCAAATTTCAGCTTTGAGAATACAATCTTCTCCAGAATTATCAGCTTTGAGTTGAGTATGTAAATATATACATAAGTTACTACCGGTATACTTTGTTCAAAGAGTAATTGTGTGAAAAGTAATTCTAAAGGAACTTAATTTTTAGATAACCTATATGTTTTAAACACTCACAACAATAATACTATTTCACCCAAAATTCCAGAAATTTAAAAAGCAGACTACAAATGATTCCCAGTGGAGTTTAAATATCAGAATTCTTTGCAGAAATTGGTTTGTAATGAGTAATACAAATGAAATCAATGTGTTTATATTATAGAATGGTATTTTGAGTTTGGATTTGTAATTCCTGGATCAACCAACACCTGGCAGTCTATCATAGAGGCTGCACCAGAGAACCAGATGATGCCAGCATGTACTCTCAGGTAAGTTGTCAACAAACATGTGTTCTCAGATAAGTCAGCACCAGTCTGTAAAGTTGTGTTGATGACTATTTGTGTTTTTTCTTGCATCAAGTCCACACCTAGTTATAAACCTTTAAAGAATGAACGTTTTGTTCACCTTTCATTATCATATTGGATGGCCCAAAATTTTGGCCGGGGGGGGGGGGGGAGCATAGGTAACCAACTGCTCAATGAGATTGATCAGTAAGGTATTTCATGTGTAAAAAGTGGCACATCAATAGTTTTTACTTGAACAAGTTTGTTTGGTTGATTACCTGATGAACAGTCTGTGTCATTTTGAGATGGAGTCTCCTGGTGACTACCTTATAGAATAACATACAAGACGTCACATGCCATATAGAGCAATAAGGGTGAAGTGCTTTGTTCAATGACACAGCTGTGAAAGCACAGATTCTCAGCTTTCTGCAAAACACAAACGAGTAGCAAGGGTGAAAGTAAGCATCTCAAATCTGTACCTGAGCTTACGTAGGTCAATTAATCTCTTGAATTTTCCTGGTTAACTTATCGCAACAGAGACTTCTGTTTGTATTCTACAAATGTCTTTTTCATTGCCTTGTAATACAGTCTCTACCCTAGTTTGTATGTGATCCTCTGGGAAAAATATACAATATGGTACTTTCTTTTCATCACCATTTGTCAGTCAGGTTATGTCAACCTGCCAGTGATACCTACAGTAACATAGATGATAGATGGTGAAAAAGAAAATCATTGAGCCTACTGCTAATACTGTGCCTTTTTACCTCACAAAATTGTAAAATTTGTAAAAGCAATCAATTATGTACTTGTTGAACCAGTTTCTATCACAAGAATATGTACAATTTTTTTTTTTTTTCAGTGGAAATGTGATAATCGAGACCAAATTCTTTGATGGTGACTTACTAGTCAGTACATCTAGAGTGAGAATATTCTATGTCTAGCTGGTAAACACGTCTCCCTACTTCACAAAGAGACCCTTTGTCATTCCATGGCATATTCTAGGACACTGTTTAAGTCCAAAGACTTTGTGAATGGACACCACATCATATTCTCAACACCATGCGAAGGAATGTATCTGATTGTGTAGTGTCTTATGGACAAACACAAAAAATGTAAAAGTCTTGAGAGCGATTCAGAAATATCACTTTGAAATGTTGTTGAGGAAATGAATTAGACCTTGGTGGTGTAAGCATTTATTGGTACTCACTAAACAGTGAAACGAATTCAAATGTTCAGTACGTAGACATTTGTGATAGAATGAAATATCTGTTCTGTAACAGTTTGTGTGTTAATGATTGAACAAGTGGATTAACTTGCAAGAGAGAAAAACAGATAGATGTATGAATGGCTGACAGATAAGTTATATGAATAGAAAATATTTGTGCTATTTGTTGTTTCAATTTATTGTATCATAATGATGCATATTATCCTGTAGACATTTTATATTGCTTATTTTGAACTGCGACTTTAACAACAAAGTTCATACTAAAGATTATTGACCGACTCTCATTTTGCAGTCAAATGATGTAATGTTATTGGATGTCGGTCTTTTTTCTTTTATTTTTCTTCTTTTCATTGATATACCGAATCTTTCATGTTATAAGCAGTTTTGGAATATGATTATTGCATTTCCAACTTCTTAATTGCGAAAGATGTTTGTCAATGAATGTTAAGTAATTTCAAATTATGTGTTGTTCTGTTTTTTAACACATTTTTGGGCCCAAATAGTTACAATGAATTCGGACAGCAAGTTAGAATGATTATCAGCACAAAAACATGACAAGTTTATTTATTAAACCTAGTTATATGTAGCAGGAAATGTTACAAGTTTTGAAAGGTTCATAAGAGGTGTTTAGCTTTCTCCAAACACCAATATGTTGCTTTTTCTGTACCATTTCTGAACATTTTTTTATTGATCCCTTCTAAAATGTCAATATTCTTGATTTTTAAGATATTTCTGTAATTTTTTATGGTTATCTCCCTTTAACTTTGATAAAACAAGGAGGCATCAGTGAGAAAAAAAGAATGAAAAAAATAAGTTCTGTATATGATTTGTATTGTCAGCTTTGACAATCTTTTATCACCCTAAGTATAAATCAGGTCAGATAGTCATCAGAGTAAAAAAAAATGTGTAGATGTACTGTATACTAATGAATTTTGGCATGAATCCTGATAATCATGGTATTATCTGTGGCTATTATTGTGTAAACTTAATGTCTTGTGCAATATACCAATATAGTTTCAAGTGAATACAGATTATTTTGGGTATTTATGAAGATTTAGTATTCTTACATATTTGTTAGAAATAAGTTCTGTTTTGTTGGCTTGGAGTGTGCAAAATCTCATCAAATCATTATTGAAAGCAAAGATATAAAATATATTGGAACAGACTGATTTGTATTTAATCTTGTAATTACTTGCTTGTCTTCATTTATAGAAGAGAAATTCTATTAAAAAGAATGGCAGTTATAGTATATTGTGATAAATCTACCTATGAGTTCTAGGACAAATGCCATACTCCTGTAAATTGTCCCATGAAAGTTTGGCAAAAATTAATATGCTTTATATAGGGAATATGCCATAAAATTTCTTATCTAGGTTTCAAGATACATAGTGGTATGCAAAATCTTTTAGTTATAATTGAATAAGCATGAAAGAAAAGGAGCAATTCCTGAATTCAGGTCTTCATTTTTCTCTTCTTTTTACTTCATTTAGCTATGTGAATAGTTTGTGGAAATGTTATCACAGATGCACTGATCAATTTTAATTCTTTGTGTAAATCTCTGCCTAAATATATATCCCTATTTATTTGTATCTGAATGTATATATATGTGTGTTATTGCTAGATAAAATGTGTTTGACCTGTATCCAACATTTTGACATGTTGTCCACTGGGATATCAACTACTTTTGGACATTAGTTCCTTGTTATGTTAAGTCTTGATAGTAGCTGACCCAGTAACATGCAAAATCTCTTGATCATAACTTCAATATGCAACCACTATGAATAGTTTCACTTAAAGAAACAACTGTTTTGAACAATGATAAATTTATCTTGTTCAATATTAGAATTGCTTCAATTCATTTTTACAGCTCATTCCAAAAAGAGAAAAAAAAAGAGAAAAAAATCATGACATAGCAAAGTCCTTTGTTTCAGAGAGGTTGCATGGTAGCATTGTATGTGTGTAGTTTTGTTTTGAACATTAATTGTTTAAAAATATGACTGTCTTTTAAGTGATTTTTGTAAAATCAATTTCATTGTAAACTTGATATGGTCACATCTGTATACATTCCATCCTTACCTCAGGAGGTGTTTTTTTTTTCATTTTCAACTTCAGCTCAATGTTTTCTCAAACATTGGATATAGGCAAGTATTTGGATGCTGGTTATTTATTTTCTCCCATTTAGAATTATCAAAAGAAAGGTTGGCTTATATGGGTTGACATCACCATTCACATTAAAAAAACCCAACTGATCTCCATTGTATGACAGAGTTAACCTCAGCTGTCTGGAAAAAGTCTGCAGCGGAGATATCTCTGTCCACATCATACAGAGGTGAAATGTATATGTTAGTCAACAATGTGCTGGAATGTTTTGTTTCTTTCGTTAGATCATTGTATAACTTGGATATAAAATGTGGATTTAAACTTGGATTTCTGTATGCTTATTCATGTAAAACTTACATAGAAATTATATTGATAGGGAACAAGACAAAAAAAATTCTACAAAGTGTGTTGTAATAAGTTTAAATGAGGGGATGGGACAATATGGTTAAACAAAAATAACCATAATTCTTCTCTAAATATCATTGCTAAGCATTTTTGTAATTTTCTATTGATGAACATTTGTTTCGTTTTAATTTTGATTTTTTTTCCTTTTCCATTTAAAAATTTGTTTTTACTAGAAAGATCAGTTTCATTTTCTTCAAAGAAGCCCCATACATCTGTATTTATTCCATCTGTTTAAATGGATAATGGCTATTTTTATATTAGATATGAATTTATTAATGTCAATGGAAGTTTGTTGAAAGATTTTAGTTTTACTACAAGAGTAATATGTATATGTGCTCTGTGTTTCGTAGTCCCATATTAAGAGAAGCTCATATTAGTTAATATTAATGAGAAGCTGATTAACAGGTGATTATTTAATGGTTAATTTTCCTAGAAATTCATCAGATTAATGGTGTATTAACAGTAGATAAACTGTCAACAATTGTTCTGTACAACACTTTTATGGATGTTGTGAAATAGCTGTAGACTCGCTCTCATCATTGGGTAATGTATTTTGTGAACCTTATCACAGCTCACTTGATTTCTTTAAGGCCTAACTTTTATTGTTCAAAACCAATACACAATGATTTCTGTTGGTGCTTATGCCAGATAAACACTAGGTACATTTACAATTGAGATCAGGTCGTCAAATCTATTCGCTCATTAATCTGAATGAGCTGTTGTTTGCAAAATGAAGCATTTCAATCTTCATCTATAGAAATGACGTCTTGGAAAAAATGTCCTGGTGAATTTCAAATTATTACATATACTGTGTAAGAAACTTTGTCCGGATGCTCATTAGTTATTAACTGTGTGTGGTTACTTTGTTATTGTTGTAAGAATTTAGAAGGTATAAATTTATTCATTTTATTGATGAAAGTTAATGTCTTAGAGATTAAATTGCAGGTTGGCAGAACATGTTCACTAGACAACATGTTTTAATGTAGATATACTATGATAAACTACCAAATGACTAATTTTTTTCATAGCTGTTAGAGATTTTCCCCGTCGCTAATTACATAGAAAATTAGTATTCTGATCTACAGTTATTTCATTGTCTCTTTTTTTTGTGTACGTAATGTTTGATTTACAATTTGAACTGGACATATACATCGATTTTCATGGATATGCATAACACTTCAATGTGAATGAATCCAATTTTTCACTGACTTCATTATCAGAAATCAGGATTTGTATTTTGCAGTTGAATTTCTGTTTGTTTTGTTGAACATGACCTTACCTTGTTTGTCATTTTCATTCTACTGAAACGTGTAATCTAAAACAGTCTTCAGGTCAAGTTTTAATTTGTATAAGATTAGAAAATCAAATTAAATTGGAGCAGAATCTGCTTTCAAAATGAGTCGAACTGCAAACCATAAAGAAAGTTAGTATTTTAAAAAGTATTATTCCAGTAAAATACCTGACGGACCTTAGGACTTCAAATATCAATTGTTTTTATCCATGATTGCGTTTCCTGCCTATTGCAAGCAAATGATCAGTTAAATTCGGTAGACGGTACCCCTTAACAAAACCTGAAGTCCAGGGGTAGGATGTTTAAGTGGAATAGCCCTATGTATGTTGGTGTAAGATGTTACATTGTAGCTATAAAGCTGTTGTGAATAGTGTGTTGTACATGAGTTCTGTGTGTCATGATCTGATTGTGTCTTGTTTTTACTCCTCAAATATTTTCTTTCACAAATCTATTTTAATAATTACCTCCAGGAGTAACATGTGCTTATATATAAACATAGGAAATAAAAGACAAACTTTCCCTCCTAATAATATTTTATTGCTAATTATGTTGAAGAAAAAGAAGTAATTGTAAGTTTTGTTTCAAAGTATTTCAATGAACACAATTCAACTTTTTTATTGGCATTATTTAAAATTAATTATGTAGATCTTTATCAATAGTAATAATACAAGATAGTTGCTTGAAGAATTTCTTTTTAACGATGTGGCTGACAAAATTTTCCATGATATAATGACATCTCTGTTTGGAAGCGAGAGACCAGTTACATTAAATAGTACCTTGGTCTGGCCAGTCGAAGGTAACACCAGCCAAAATATCGTACTCGTTGAAGTTGAACAGAAATAACGTAACTTTGGTCAAAGGAAGTTACAGAGTTTTGTATTGTTTATTTTCATTAATTTATTCTAATAGAAGAAATGTTTTCTTCATCAAGATAAAAATGTATGTCGGCTGAAACTCCTCGCTTATATCTTGTCGTCATTATAATGTTAAGAAATCACATGATCATTAGCACTGTGTGACCATCCTAAACAGACTTTTTCTAGGAATTTGAACAGAAAGGCAAAGTTCTGAGTTCTGAATGCTGTGTGGCAGGCATATGTCACAGTAGTTTTAGTAATGGAAATCATTTTTCTCAATTGTGTATCCGTCCACTGTCTTTTGTCACTCTCAAGTGATGTGTACTACTAACCATTGAGGACTACAATGGTCGTCATTCTTTTTGAATAAAGATAAAAAGCATTTCAAGTATTGACTTATATTTGTGATGTGCAAGTGTTGAAGGTTCTGTAAAAAAGTTCTTACACCAACCTATATGTGTTTGTTTCTTCATCAAATTGTCGAACTCTATTGATGTGTACATACATGTACTTTCAACAGCCATTTTATGTTTTAAGGGCTTGAAGTAGGGGAAGCATATACATGTAGTGTTGCACACAACCATTTGACCAGCCTGGGCTCTCACACCCCATTTTGGGACTGGAGCCCGGGGCCCTTAGAATTGGGAAAAACAGCAGCATTTTCCTTAGAATTGGGATAACTTGGGGTCTAAATTGGGAAAAAAGATAGTATTTTGCATTAGGAATGGGGCCGAATATCGGCTCCAAATCTGGCAGATCAAGAGCGCTGCCAGCCGTGTCACATCCCTTTCGGAATCGTTGTCATGTTCCGAGTACCTCTCTACAGATACAGTTCATATTTACCCCATAGCATCCTAACATCAACATCTGATCAGATTCTGGTTTCTTAGAAGCAAGGACATTCATATCTATGTTCAATACATTTTTTTAGTTTTGATAATCAGATGACATAATAAGTAGTGATAAGTTTTAATGCAGCTTTCCTTATTTGTTTGAATAGTGTGTTCAATAAATGTCTGGGTCATTATTGCTATGTGATGCTCAATTAATTTCCCTTATTTGTTTGAATGGTGTGTTCAACAACTGTTCGGGTCATTATTGCTATGTGATGCTCAATTAAATATCATGATTCCAAAATATTGGAGATTCTGTTGAAACATACCTTTGTTGTAGACCATCAGGATTTTAGCTCATGGTTATCAGAAGAAAGATTATCCCATTGTCCATTATTATTCCATCCATGCTATAAATCCAGTATTCAAGATGTCTGCCCACTGCCTTATCTTGCCCACTATAATCAGATGACAGGCTCGTCAAATTGACCTTCATCCATGGTTAGTCATCTGTTTGCTCTTGAGAAGAATTGTACACAATTGTTCTCAAATTTCATGTGTAGATTTCATCAGAAGGACCAATAGATACCCTTTTTGAATTTCGATGTTTTTGGTTTGTCACTATTTTTTGTAAGCAGTTGATGGCTCATACGTTAATATTCTATAAAAAACTATGTCCTTCTCGGTCCCTATTGTATATTGTCCACTTGGATCTAATGAGATGAACAAAATGGATGACAGAAGATCATCACAAATTTTAACCGTTATACTTCGTTATCACTATTTCTCCAGAAGAACAGTATGGATCAAATTCTCCATTCATAGGTAGGTTCCCCCTGTATTGAGGATGCCCATTGTGCATTTTGGGTTTAGATATTTAAAGTTATTATCATTATTTCATTAGATATTCATGTAATCCTGTACCTTGATCTTGTATGTAAGTATATACACATCACATTTGAAGCACTAAAACCTACTCACATATCATATTAATAACACTACGTACAGCTGGAGATGCTTTCCTTCTGCATGGTACCAACCCAGACTGTCTGTATCTTTTGATATGTAGGCTATGATAAAGATGTGTTCAAGTTTTACTTTGCTTAATGTCCTCTTTATGTACTTTATATATGTTCAGCTTTCCATTATCATCAGTGGTCAGTTGCACTTCATCTTTTGGTCAGGTGCTGTAGTGGTAACACAATCGCCCTTCAATCAGCTAAAAATCAATATAAAAATTTTACAAAAAGTTCATATTATATTATATTACATCTTGTTCTGTCAGCAGCTTTGACGTTGCTTTGGCTACATATATATTATAGTCCTTTACACTACAACAGGAATTGCTCTTTAGTATAGTCCTCCCTACATCAAAAGAGATGTTATTCCGAGTTCATTTTGGTTGAAGGACATCCTCATTGTTCAGCAGTACACAGGTTCCTATTGCCAACTTCATTCTATTATGAAGTCTGGTTCTGGCCATCTCGTTCCCTGCCCTTATTGCCAATCATGCATACGGCTTTCTTGGTTTATACCTAGTACAGTTTGAATGTTCTGGTATGCTTTATGCACTCTTGCTTACTACAGGATAATCTTTTCCAATGGTCTTTTATTGCTTTGCTTACTTTGTGTTTCCATTTTAACGAGTTTGGAGGGTGTTGTAGGACATGTGATGAATGTAGGAGCTCATATTTCTATATTTTAACAAACCAGCTTCATAAATCATTTTCTTTACCATTTCTTTATGAGGTTATCATTAACCCCGTTGCCCATCCTCTTACTATATACTTATACTCTACAGCATTTCCTCGTTCCAGTGTTCTTAAATTACTGCATCATATATCATATCGAGCATACTATCATGATTCACCAAAATGTATGCAGCATGTGTTGTGCGTTTGTTCCTTGCTTGTCTATACACTTCTTCAAGTGTTGTAGTAACCATCGGCGATGTGACTTCAGGGGTAACGCCTTGTAGTAGAGGGTCTTCATCAGGATCTTTGGTAGGACTTTTGCTGTAGGATGAACATTCAGTTGTGATATGTTGTTTGGCTTCGACGTTGCTACCTTGTTCTTCTTAAATTACAAGATATATGAAATTTACTACATCTATTGAAATATGCGGCTAATGAACCTCTCCATATAGTTTTATTTTCTTTTCGATCACTTAGGAATTTGTTCAGTCGCCATGTAGGTTTCAATATGTAGGCTCTTAGCACCACTGACTAGTCATGGAAGGATGAAACAGCTGTATGTTGCAATTTAATTGACACTATAATTCCAAATTGTGTAAAAAAAAAAAAAAAAACTGCTATTCACTTTTGTGTCTTTTGTACATTATTCCTGCAAACTGATGTGCTAATGCCTTGTTTCAAATCACCTGAAACATATCCTGCTTCCACTGCATTTGTCATTGCTGCTAAAATGTATATAACACCATTGACCACGTATAGAATATTCTAAGCTGCTAGTCCTTGGGAATATTCTGCATTGTTTTTGTTTGGTTTGGAGGATGCTGTTTCCATTGTGTTGTCTATTGCAATGCTTATGCTACAAATTGTCGCATCCACCCTGCCAGAATGCCATTTTCACTGTGTATCCTATCCTCTACTCTTATGTTTCAAATGCAGTTTATAAGCCACCCATGGTATTTGCCTACAAGCCTGTATAAATTATCTATGTCAATTAATCTAGTTTTCCTTAATTTCCATCCTGGTCTATGCGATTGCAATTCGATAATTCTATTCCTAATGAGTCTACAGGGTTGTTAGATCTTCCGTTTTCTTTCAATTTCCAGTGGTATCTGCGATTGACTTATAACTTCTGACAACGTCTTACTCCGCACTTGAGGTTTCCTTGCCTTTCATCAATTCTACTTTCTAGTTTGTTCTTTGATATATCTTTCCACTGCTTTTATGAGAACCTTGTTGACTTCTTGCACTGCAATATCTGTAGAGAAGTCGTCTATGGGGCCTAACTTAATTCCATTTATTAACTGTACCAAGCACACATCTTTGTCTGTTGTCGTGTTCAGGGCGTTTCGCCACCTTCTATTTTACCTGATCTATACTGATATCTAAATTACCTCTTTATTTCCACCTCTACTGAGCATTGATTAGATACGTGTGCAATAAAGTCTTTAAATACCTCTATTTTTGATGATATTTACTGAAGACTTGTCACAAGAACTACTCGATTACGTAAGAGTAGCATGTATTTAAGTGCACGAAGGTTTTCCCTGTCGGCATCACATCCGGTAAAGCTCTTTGGGAAATAGTCAAGTGCTTTCTGTCGCTAACTTACTAGATCTTGTGTAACCTCGTTCATGTCACCTAATATTGATATGCATTATCTCTCCTGGATCTCTAGCATTTCACGCATCTCTCAGAGACAGCGTAGACGAGTGAACATGGACAGATGGAACGGGAGAAGGGAGTAGAAAACAGAGACGAGACCGGATGGATGGGAGGAAGGAAGTAGAAACCAGAAAAGGGACATTGGCGGAAGGTACAGAAGCAGTAACCATAAAGAGACAGCATGGACGGGTGGAACGGGAATGTAACCCAGAAATGAGATAGTATGGACGGGAGAAACGGGAGTAGGAACCAGAGATGAAAAGTATGGATGTAATTAACGAGAGTGGAAACCGGAAATGAAACAATGTGGGAGGGAAGAACTGGGATAAAAATCAGAGATGAGACAACATGGACGGATGGAACGGGAATATAACCCAGAAACGAGATAGCATGGACGAGTGGAACGGAGGTAAAGTATTTCTACGAGAGATAGCATGGACGAGAGGAACGAAGGTAAAGAATTTCTCCTTACCTACGGAGAATCAGCTTAAAACCTATTTTGGAAACAGGTTTAACCAAATTCATATATTTTTTTCGAATGTGATAAAAAGGGTAAAATACAAATATTTTTCACCCATCGGTAACAGTGCTTACGTAATGTTATTGTTTGGGCATAGAGAAGAATAACATTTATTGTTAATTTACCCCCACTGTACTATTATTACATAATACCAACAGAACTTTTTTTTCAATATATTATTTATTGGTGAAAGAAATAAAAACAAGCCCGAAAAATGGCCAAATGAACTTGATTTGGTTGTTGATGACAAATGGTGGTCGAGAGTAAACTTAACACCTTTTAAATTTATCAAAGGTTGCAAATAAAGAGTTTCCGTAAATAATCATTTGTAGAAAACATAAGTACAAATACCTCCCCACAATAAAAAGATGGATCCTCCCATTTTGTTTATTCTGTAATAGACACGTGGAAACAATAATACACCTGTTTCGTGAATGTAGGACAGTAGGAAATTACTAGGGGGAAATAAAAACAAGTGGCTACAAAACAAATCTATATCCACTAAGCCGTGCCATATTAATCTAATGTTGAAGGTTTCATAATAGAGCTAGAACAGAATTCTATAAAGAGAAGAGATGATAAATAAGACAAATAGGGAATGCAGTATATTCCAAACAAAATGTTGTCAAATTCGGTAAGTCCATTATTATAAATGAAGTATTTACATATTTGT